TATTACATTAATGGGGACCACATAAATTGAATAATTCCTGATAATCAAATTAAATTCTCATTGTCATAACACAGTTGCAGGATTAGTATTTTGTAAGTATTGCCATAGAGCTACTGATTGATTGTGCCAGTAGTTCTCTTTTGGGGATTGGTAATTGATTTCCACTCTTCCCCCACCCTGCCTTTTCTTGGCATGTGAAAACTGAGCGTGCTCCTTGATTTGTTGCCAGAGAATGTTCACTGGCATCAATAGCAGAAGATGTGGGGGCAGCAACTAAAGTGCTTGTACCATCATGGGAAGACTATGCTCACATTCTTTTTTGCTTTATGTTAAAGAATCAACCAGTTTAATAGTACACATTAACACAGGCTACTTCACATGGCTGTCATCTCCTAAAATAAGTCAGAAAAACTGCACACATTCTTAAAGATTAAAAACGCTTCACTATATCAATATAGCGTATCTAACTTTTTTGAATTTCCTTTCAATTACAAACTTCAGATGAACAATCTACATGTAGAAAACATTGTTATTCCATAATTGGAATCAAAAGATTGACACTTATTTTTGTTATGGGAAGCAGTATAAATCCATACTTTTGGTCCAAGAACTGTGAGATCTTCTGTTTATCCTCAGTTTAGCAATGGGTGGAAGCAGTCCAACTTTAAAGTTCTATTTCAGTTTCGGGCATGTTATGACCAGTTGTGTAATAGAATTTTCTTCAGGCCATTTGTGCCTGACATCAGTATCAAACATCTACAAGCCTGACTGTTTCCCTGAGATCTCGCTCTGCATGCCTGTGTCTGTGTCCCCACTGCTCCACCCGGGCCTGCAAAAAGCCCTCTGTAGAATTGGGCATCTCTGGTTGGAAGGAAGCAAATCTGTAGGAAAATTAATGCATCTGATATTACATTAACTTTTCTGTGGTTCTTCTCTGGCTAAGAACCCTATTCTAAGAGGATGATAAGGAAGGTGAAGTTAGGGGAAGGATCAGAGACTGGAGAGCTGGAATGAAAGCAGATAGTCTATGTGTGGGAAGACCCTGTGCCTTAGGTGGAATCGCAGGATCTGGAGGAGTAAAATCCTGCTAATTTTGCAAGTTAGGAGAAAGCCTTCCCCGTAGAACAGTTTGGGAAAATTCCATGAGGGGAACCTTGCTGAGTCTTCCTCCCCTTGGAGAGCTTCAAAGGGGTTTACACAGGAGGAGGCTGTTTGGCCCTATTTTTTTTTTTTTTTAAAAAGCCAAATTAATACAAAAATATATTTCTTGGTCATAAAAATTGAAAGGCAGATAAAAAAAGTTGGTTATTCACATTTATAAAATATGAATATGAATCAAATGTACATATGATTTAACAATGTCTGTCATAATCTAGTTAGAATTAATTTTCCAGTAGATATCAAGTGCTGACCTTGAAAATGTTGGGGGTTTGGGATTTTTTTTTAAAGTCTTGCAGCTAACTGTTTCAGAAGAGAGATTTCTCTCTAGAATGCCTACCTGAGGTTTTTTTTGGGGTGGGGGGAGAGAGGATTACAGCATCGATATTTTCAATATTGTAATAAGCCCTGATCCTGCGAATGACTGTGTGTAGGTGCTTCGGACCAAATGTATACAGTCAGCTGCAGGATTGGGGTCTTAAATTAGTACTAATAATCTTCTCTTTGTCTGAATACTGGGATTTAGGTCTAGGGAAGAACACAATATGACTTTTTAAAGACACTTTCTTGCATATCTAACTCCACATAAGATTCTATCCTTATCCCTGCTTTAAAAATACACCTGTACCCCGATATAACGCTGTCCTTGGGAGCCAAAAAAATCTTACTGCGTTATATTAAACTTGCTTTGATCCGCCGGAGCACACAGCCCCGCCCCTCCGGAGTGCTGCTTTACCGCGTTATATCTGAATTCGTGTTATATCAGGTTGCGTTATATCGGGGTAGAGGTGTAGTAGCTTTTGTAGTTGATAGATGGGGTTCTTTGGTATTTCTCTTATTGCAGTGGATTATGGTTTTTCAATAAAGTTTCTATCATCTGTAGTAGTCCCTGTACTGTACTGCATCTATATCCTGCACATCTGTGCAAGCTGCAATGCCTGAGAGTGAGATGCGGTGTGGTGCCAATGTCCCTCCCCAACCTCCTCTCCATTCTCTCTCCTTCCATCCACCTGTGAGAAGAAAGGGTGTGTGGCATGGCAACTCTGTAACCTGTTCCCTGACTGACATGCTATCTGTCATGTGGGTAACTACTGTAGTTCAGGGCCATAAGTTTCTAGTATTTCCATGTGACAGCCAGGTAGAGAGATCTGTTTAAAAATGTAGCCCCAAAAGTCATTTTTTTGGTCATTTATCTTGTAGTGGCTTCTGCACTGAAGGGTCTAATTTCAGTACTGTTGTCTGTTCAGCTTCCAGTTGCATTACTCTGAAGTTGATGGAATCCATTTTCCCCATCCATAATGGCTATTGCCTCATGCACATTTTGGAAACAGGCATTACGTTTTGGCAGGTTTTCTTTGATTTAGTCTGCTTTTCAGCAGGAGCAGAAATAGTAATTGCTTCACAGTAAGATGGTAGATCCTTCATCTCAGCAGTGGGCAATTTCACATGAAATCTTAATAGCTGGCTTTCTTCTTAATCTTTGGCATTGTAGGATTGTCTGAAGTCTTAAATATTGTCTTAAAAATAAATAAGTTATTGGTAAGATTTAACTCTAAGTTTGCTAGATACCAATTGCTGAGGGAGCCAAGTAGAAGTGTATCTTCCTGTTGTGATGTGCCTCCAATACAGTATTTTTAAACTCCATCCATATGCAGCCATACAGTACTTTCAATTCATTCATGATAATACCAGGCAGATATTGCATTCTTCTGGTTCTTTAGAGAAATTGTTTGTCTGTAAAATATTGATGAATCATCCTTAATGTTTTTTGATACCTCTGTCAGAATTTAGAGTCCAGAAGAACACAGAGGGGTGAGGAACTTATTTTGCATGAGCATATATTAAATGCATTAAAACAAGACAAAACCCATCTCATTCTCCTCCCACTTTTTGTGCACCTTTCCCTAACTACAACCAAAAATACAGTACTTTAGGAGCATCTCTCCTTCCTGATTCCCTTCTCCTTTCAAAACTGGACACTCTCCTTCTGATTGTTTTTCCCGATTTTTCTAAATTCTGGATCCATTGTCATCCTTCTAGGTTCTTTCTGATCCCAGTATGCTGATGCTCACTACCATCCTGCATTTGTCAGGTCTTCCTTCTGGCAAAAGAATTCTGAATTGTTCTTCCCTCTTTGTATTGGTTTGAGTTTCACCAAACAATTGCCACAGGTGTTTTTCATCACTCCCCTATATGCCAGTGTGATTTTTTTCCCCCCCTTCCCCACCCCCCAGCTCTGGTGGCTCGGGAGGTAGGGATTACAGATGAATCCTTGTGTGTCAGTGCAGTGTACTTCCGCTAGACAGTGGTGCTGTCACACAGATGCTGTTATTAATTCATAAGTTCAGGTATCCAAAATACATCTTACTTTAGCTGTTTTACTTAACACTTACTATTTCTTTTAAAGGGGCACCATAATATAAAAAAATCCACTTTTGCATCTGAAAACTTTTTACCAACTGTTGTGCAAGTAACTCCTCAGATTATCGTCATTTACTAAGTGCAATAACTGATCGTTAAAAAAGTAGAGGAGATATTTTTCTAGGTTTTTTTCCTGTTTACTCTCTGAATTTGAAAGTACTTTGGGTCTGATCCAAAGCCCATTGAAGTCACTGGAAGGGCTCTCGTTGAATTCAAGACACTCATTGAGATCAATGGAATTTATGCCCTTTGTGTGTAGTCATTTTCACTGTTTCCCCTGTATAGTCAATTACTTCCTTCTCTTGTCTGCATGGGTCTTGAATACAGTTGCAGGGGAGCGTTAGACACATTTTAAAAAATTAATAAGTAGGAAAATGTGATTTAAAATAACAAAATTTGCCAGAAGGACTCAGACATGTATAGCACCTGAAACTACTTTAGTATATTTTTTTTAAAACCTTCATTAAATCTCAGATTGGTGGGGTCCCTTTCAAATGTCTTTTTAAAAAGAAAGATTTACTAAGCCAAATTGTGGCCTGTCTAGCATGGCGGTGGAGTGGTTTAAGAGGACGCAAGTTGCCTCCTTATGGCCCCTCACTAGTTACCCACGTGACAGATAGCATCTCAGTCAGGGAACAGGTTACAGAGCTGCCATGCCACACACCCTTTCTTCTCACAGGTGGATGGAAGGAGAGAGAATCAAGTGGGGGCAAGGGAGAGACATTGGCTCAACACCCCATCTCACTCTCAATTATGTCAGCTTGCATACATGTGCAAAATATAGACGCAGTGCAGTTTAATCTCTTCCTTGAGCTGCAGAGGACCTGGGAGTGAGACTTATTCCCTGAGTCCCAGACTCTCTCCTAGGTTGCTCTTGGGACAATGCAACAATACACTGCCACTTACTCTGGGATTGTTCTAACAGTTGAGCACTAAGTCAATTAGATCTTCCTTGGGAAAGTTGTTTTGGAGACGGAGAAGGAGGCCACCTTTTAAAATATAACAGTCTAAATGTAATTTTTTATTTACAATCCTTAAAGAGCATTGTGATTTTAATTTCAGAATTATGTTGTGAGCCTTTCTTTATTGGCAAGTATATCCAAATGTGCAGTTCTATAGCTGATGAACTTGCAATTACAAGTTCTATACAAATTATAGATAATATAAATGTAGTAAACATCGTTAGACTAATTACAATGAAATAAAACAACTGTTGGTGTCTAGAAACAATTTCCTTCTGACGAATGTGCGGCATTTGTCAAAAATAAATTCTATGGTAGGTAAATATTTGGTGCTCCAAACTGAATGTCCTTCCAAAGTCTGATTTTTGCAGATTTCCTATCATTTTAAAAAATAGGTACATATACAAAATAATTATGGCTAATTTCTTGCTTTTTTTTGTTTAATTTCATTGTATGCAGACTGCTGAAATCAAAGACACTTCTCAAAGATGTAAACAAAAACAAGATGCTGTGGAAAAGAAAGACAAACAAGTAAGAGAACCTTAATGTGTGGGGGGTTTTTTTATTCTTGTTTGCAGGTGCTGTGGAGCATTGATATAATACTAAATACATCACATGAAGTGTTCAGGTAAATATTGTGGAATTTAGTGTTGTCCTGGCTGAGTCACTGTTTGGATTCCATCAATGACACCCATATTTCAGCCACTCATGATGGAAAGTTCAACTGGAGATGAAATGTAGTGTTGCAAGCTGTCTGCAGCCTCCACTCCTCCAAAGACCCACATCTGGTTGGTACAGCCCCCTCCAAAGTGTACAGAGGCAAATTCGGAGGCAACAGGGACAGAGTATCCAGGAAATACAGTGATTCATTGTATCGCCCAGCACCCTCAGCACTCAGACTTGCGGAGTTCCTTAAAGTTGCTATCCCCGAGGAAAATTGAAGTTTATCAGTAGAACAGAGTACTGTCACGGAACAGCTGTCTTTTCAAGTTAGATGCAATGTTCTATTATAAGGAATTTACTTTTTGTATACAGTATGCATATTACAAGTTTTTGCTTTTGTTGAATACTTTTGCTACATTAGAATATTTTCTAGTGCTCACTTACTCTTATCCACTGTACCCTGGTGCCTTAAGTCTAACCAGATGAAGAAACAGAATAGTTGCTTGTGTTAGCTAATCAGAGAGCTTCTATATGTACACCATTTAAAAAAAATTAAATGCAAAAAGCTGTTAATGCAACATTAAGGCTCCATAGCTAAGCACTCAGTCAATAAATATGAAAATTAAACATAAGGAGGAGAGTTCAAGTTGCATATTCCATTTTGTTACGTTGAATTTATTCAATCTTGTACTAATTCTCAAACTATCCAGTAGCATGCAACTTTTACTATAATTTTAGATAAACATATATCTGAGGGCAGGTCTTCACTACCCGCCGGATCGGCAGGTAGAGATTGATCTATCGCGTCTCGTCTAGATGCGGATAAATCAATCCCCGAACGCACTCCCCGTCGACTCTGGAACTCCCGCTCGCGAGAGGTGGAAGCGGGGTCGACGGGGGAGTGGCAGCGGTCGACTTCCCGCTGTCCTCACGGCCAGGTAAGTCGACCTAAGATACGCCGACTTCAGCTACGCTATTCGTGTAGCTGAAGTTGCATATCTTAGGTCGAAACCCACTCCTCCCCCCCAGTGTAGACCAGGGCTAAGAATCTGTAATAATGTGTTTAAAGATTGAGATTGTAATACATTTGTTCTTTAAAACTCTGGCACAAATTCTAGTTATTTTACAAAAAGGCATCAATTTGAGTTGTTAGGTGGGTTTTTGAGCAAGGATGAGATCTTATATTTTTAAACCTGCTTGACTACATCAACATTTCAATATCTGTTACAACAATCTTTTGTAATTATCCACCTTTTGTTGTATATGCAAAAATTCATTTGTAAATGCCATTCTGGGAAAATATTTGCGTTTCTCTTAGATTGAAGAAATTCAGCAAGCTTTGAGAATGAAAAGCGATGAAGAAATGGATCGACAGAAGAGAATACACAACTCTCATAAGATGATAGAGGACTGGCAGAATGAGCTCAACAGTACAGGAAACTCTGAGAATCTTCAACCTCAGATTGATTCTATTAACAATGAGCTGAGACAGTTGCAAGAAGAAAAGGCAAATATTGATGGTGAAATGAGTGATCTGCGAAGAGAGAGAGAGAACCTAGAGAGGGAAAAGAAAAGTGAGATTGCTTGATTCTTTCCCTACTATGGTTACTACATGCAATCCTTTAATGTTGAAGTGACTTTACTGAGACTCTAAATCATTTCAAACCTTAGTAACTGTATTTTTGTACATCTCTATAGTGCTTTCATCTTTCCAAGGCCTGTAAAAGTGACAGGGATAGCTTGTTTTGGAAGGGACACCATCAACTTGAAAACTAGTCTTTCAAAAAAATGATTGCACGTAGTTTCAGTAAACCTGCTCCTCATAGATGCTGCCAGTTTGTATGTTTTTCCAATTGAATTTTTCTATTTAAATTATTTTTTCTCTCTTACTATGTGAAAGCCCCATACAAACGAAAGGAAAACTGATAGATTGTACAGGAGAAATGCTGAAACTGACTTTTCAGTCATGTCAAATGCATAAAGTAAACAAAATACAGAAAGGGTTTTCTTTATTATAGTAATTTTAGATGTTACTTGTTTAGATGTTACTTTAACGTTAAGTTAAAAAAACTTCAGACAGAAATGGTCATTTTATTAAATTGATGGTATTCGTTTAAACTAGAAGAATTAAATGTGGCATGGGTGCCAAGATGCTATGTGTAAAATGGCAATATCTTAGTGACTGTTTCTCCTTCTGCCTTTGTTAGATGAACTTGGAGGCCAGCCTTTCCTATTCTTAATGAATTACACTGCACTTTTTTATATTAGCCTGGCCTTTTGTGTTAGTTCTGTCTTGATGTAACTTGAGAGCTAGAATTAAAATGTATCTTTTTAGAGCTCTTCTTGATTAACTTGCTTCCACACATTTTTTGTCTGTATGGCCCCAACACTATAGTATCAAAACACCTCCCATGTATTTATGGATTTATCCTTGCAGTACTCCAATGGAGAACTGAGGCACAGAAAGACTGATTGTCCTGCTTAGTGAGGTCTAGAAAAATAGGAAATTGAACCCTGTCTCCTGAATCCCAGTCCAGTGCCTTAAGCACAAGACTATCCTCCTTCCCCATTATTGGAGAATGTAGATTGGAAACATTCTGTGTGTTCCTGGAAGATTTTGTAGTATTTTTTTCTTAGTATCATGTGGGAACCTCAAGGTCCCTCCCAAAAAGGGATGACATGAAGAATGCTACTTATGTGTGTCTTCAGAGGGAGAATGAGTTCTCCCTTTCCTCTCTTGGGTGGCAAGAACCCTCCCACACCATTCTTGCATTACAGCAACATTCTTCTGTTGTCACCAAATAAATAACAAATAGAAAAGTACTGCAATAGAAGTTTCTTATCCCCCTACCCCCCACAAGTATAAAATTTCCTTCTCTTCCTTCTCCCTTTTTCTATTAGTGGAGGAGAAGGTTTTGGTTTTTTAAGATAGTGGCAGTCCAGGATTTTTGGCTATATTATTTGGCAATTGTTTACTTGAATGTCTCTGCACCTAGAATAGGCCCATTGCAAAAATTAGTTTGAATATTAATATTTATACCTGGATATTGTTAATCTCTGTTTTGAAGTACATTTCTGTTTATTTCACATAGCTCTGGGATTTAAAATTTTAATGGAGTACATGCTTTAGAATGGATGGGATACTGGTCATAAGTGTATGAAAATAAGAAACGCTCTTTCCTAACCATAATACTGTAGCACTATAGTTATTAAACATTAGAAATCTTTAGTTGTGATGTGTAGGCTTGACTTAATATAACTTTCTTAAACAAAATTACAGGAGTAACTGATCGCATTGTACAATTTAACAATATGATGAATCTGAAGGAAGATAAGCTCAGAGGGAGATACCGAGACACACACAATGCTCTTCTGTGGCTAAGGGAGAACAAAGACCGATTTAAAAGAAGTGTCTGTGAACCCATGATGCTTGCAGTAAGAAAATTCGCTTGAGTATAATACTAATTAGTGGCTAATAGTGTGTCTTAAAAAAATTAAATTCTGGATTGGTTGTTATTTCTATTATAAACCTAAAATCTAGAGGCTCCCTAGCTTATCTACTGTTTTACAATGAATTAGCAAACTGGAGTACATTTAAATCAATGTCTACAGCTGGTTAAGAGGTGTAATTTTTCTCATGCAAGTAATATAACAAGTGTGAAAGTTTTACTAGACTCCTTTGTACCTTGAGTATGTTGTTACATGGATGAACACAGAGTGCTTTCAGCCATCCAACATACAGGTTTCCAATGGAACTGCCCTTCTTCAAGGTGGCCTCTACAAATTCCAACTGGTGAGATATATCCCTCTTGTATTCCCCTGAAATTTGGGAATCTTCTAAGAAAGCAGTGGTGGTTGGGATTATATGCGAGCCTTCTCATAGTTCTGAATATTCAGAACAGAAGTTTTAAGAGGACTTTTGCTCCCTACCTGCTTCAGTTGCTTCTTTTCCACATCCAGCTGCACGCATAGAGGCGTTCAATCTGTGCTCAGTCTTGGTTTGTTTCTTGGCCAGACTTTCCTATTATTACTAATAGTTGTCAGTAATGTTCATTTTACATAGTTTTAGGTACTCAGAAGTCAGTAACTAAGTTTAACTAATCCTTCTAAACTTGCTGCTTCATGCTAGTTTTGGAAATGCCAGAAATGGTTTTGCATTATCAGAATCAAATATTATTTTTGCCTTTTCCAGATCATTCGCTCCTACTGGATATAGCATTGTCAGGTCAAGTTAATCAAAAACATATCTTGATCTAAGGGCCATTACCTTTCTCCTTCAAGGCTAGTTAATCTTCACAGTGTCCATGAACATCTGAATCTTTTCCCCCTAATCTCTATTGTACAATATAACCCTGTTTCTTTGAGGGTTTTAGGAACATCTGAAACTTTTAAATCAATTAAAACTGGGTCACCAGTTCTGAAATCACTAGTGGAAGCAATCAAACTTTGGTCAATTGCCACTGTATTTAATAGAGTTATATAGTAGTGTGTATTGGTTTTCTCAAACATATCTCGATCCTTTTACAGCTAATAGTATGATATAATTTTAGTGTATTGATATGTTCCTAATATTACCATATTTTACCAGCGTACAAAAACCTTCCTTCATCTTAAACAATGGATTTGTTTTGTCTGAGAATTCTTTTGAGAAAACCAGATTAACATCTAGTAAATTCCAAATCCTCTGTCTCCTCACAGGGCCTTGGGTTTCTATATTTATGTTTAGCTGTGCTCACTGGCTACTAGTGAAATCAACGAGAACTGCATGTGAATATCCTAACGATGAATCTGGAGTTTTCTGATATTTCCACCTTTCCTTAGAGCAGGGTTCGGCAACCTTTCAGAAGTGGTGTGCCGAGTCTTCATTTAGTCACTCTAATTTAAGGTTTCACGTGCCAGTAATGCATTTTAACGTTTTTAGAAGGTCTCTTTCTATAAGTCTATAATATATAACTAAACTATTGTTGTATGTAAAGTAAATAAGGTTTTTAAAATGTTTAAGAAGCTTCATTTAAAATTAAAATGCAGAGCCCCCCGGACCAGTGGCCAGGACCTGGGCAGTGTGAGTGCCACTGAAAATCGCTCGTGTGCCGCCTTTGGCACACGTGCCATGGGTTGCCTACCCCTGCCTTAGAGCAAAGTATTGCCTTTGTTTTATTAAATGTTGGCTTGGATATTACCTGTCTTACGTTATTTATTGTTTTTAATGTATTTTATTTTTAGAATTATATTACATCACTCTTTTCATGATCCTCCTTTGTCTTTTTATCTGAGCAGATAAACATGAAAGACAATAGACATGCTAAATATGTTGAAAATCACATTTCAGCAAATGATATGAGGGCCTTTGTTTTTGAAAATCAAGAAGACATGGAAATATTTCTTCGGGAGGCAAGTACTCAGTCATATAACATGTTACCTATGTAGCTTAAAATAAATAATATTGATGCAGGAACCCTCCAGTTTAGAGCATACTTATTATGACCACTAAGTAATTTATGCACTATGTAATAATACATTTGCTAGGTAAGATCAGTTTTTTTGTAAACTGTACTGAGACCACAGATATGCAGACTCCCACCTGATTTTTCTCTTTCATAATTTAAATAAAAGAGCAAGATTTTTCAAAATCCAGAGCGGAGGATTTTTTGCTCTTGCATCCCTGTGCATCTGACTCATACCTGGCTCAGCTACTTAGGTGGGACAGTGGGCTCTGAATTTGTCAGTGACTGCTGTTTATTTGACTAATGTATTTTCTTAAAAAGCTTTTCCTACATGGTAGTAGTTAGGTAGTGGCTTTTGGAGAACTCATCTGGTTGGGGCACCACAGATGTGGGCTTTTGTGGATGCTTGCATATGTTTTAGTGGTTTGTGTTCTTCATCTTTTTGTTGAGACACCTTTTTTACTGGATATTTCGGCTTGTCTAGTAAATTGAAATTGAAAATGTATATATTTAAGGAATTGATAAAAAGATCAGTTAAACATCTGGAGGGGTTAGTTCACATCTATATTACATATTTCCCAGATGCTGATGCAGAAAGGATCTGCTTGCTACAGTAACTCATTTCTGTCCAGGATTTTGAAGGTCACCAAGGCAACGTTGCTGAGGAGATTGATCATTAATGGGGGGGAAAACATAAGGAGGACTCTTTTCTTTTCTTTTCTTTCGACCGGCCAACTGACCACAGTTTTCTGCTAACTGAATGTAGAGAAAATGAAAAAGCCTCAGTGGATGTAAATAACTTTGGTTATCATGTGGGAGTCAGAATAATTTTAAATGCATGTGAGATTAAATCAATAAAGGAAATGTTTGCTTCTATGAAATGCATCTTTTTCATACATTAGTATCATTTTAATTTCACTCAAAACTCTTGTTTTGTTTTTTGTTACTGAATATCTTGTTTGGTGTAACGTTTAGGTGCGTGACCATCAGAAATTAAAAGTTAATGCTGTATGTGCACCCACTGAGTCATGTGCTGAAAATAGACCTTCAAGATCAGTTGAAGAGTTGCAGTAAGTAATAAAATACTTAACCTTAAAACTATTGTCAACATTGAATGTTTTGGTCTCAGTGCAAAATGATGTCGCTGTGCACCATGCTTTTTTTTTTTTTTTTTTTTGCAAATCAAACTCTTACCTCAAGATCTAATGTTTTTTTCTTTCTGAATATTTGTGCTAACTTGTCATAAACAAAACTGGTTAAAGATCTATTTGTGATTTTCACCTTTTCTCTTCCTCAGCCAATATGGTGTTTTCTCTTATTTACGAGAGTTATTTGATGCTCCTCATCCTGTGATGAGTTACCTTTGTTCCCAGTATCGTGTTCATGATGTCCCTGTGGGAACTGAGAAGACCAGAAGCATGATTGAAAGGGTGAGAGGTGCTAAATAACATGAGTAGGACTATGATTTTCTTAAGACCATATTTAGGAAAGTTGCTGAAAAATCGACATGAAAAAAGTTCTAATGGGCGTTATTTTGGGTACAAATAAAACTTTTCACTTAGTGGGGAAAAAACCAAGACCAGTGGCTTATATAATGAGTAGATTTTAACACATTGGAGCAAACTATTGGTTGCAATGCTTCACAGGAAGTTAAATGTTCATCTTACCCTAGTAATGCACTAATCAAATCTCTAAAACTCAGAGGTTTATTATGGTAAAAAGTCAAAACTATTAATCTGTTTTGTAGTAATCAAGTAAGCTTTTTGGGTGGCCAGGCCTGAAAGTTTCTGGGTACTTTTTAAAGTAAAATAAATTACAAACCATTTACTAGCTTTCCAAATTTTAAAATAAATGTTTTCATTTTGGAGCTAGGAAATTTCATGACCCCTACTTGAAACAGTGAACTCTTGAGAGCAGTAATTGGAAGGTACTTTCTGCTTGAAATGCCTTTTATCTAATATAGTCTTGTAACCTCCTCACTGTATTATTTGTTTTGATAAAGGAAATACAAGAAATTTAGACTTGTTTTAAATGGGCTGACAGAAAGAGTCACCTTCCTGGGAATCCTTCGCGCACGCTCTCTCTCCTCCCCCCCGTCCCATACCTCACTCAGTGCTGACTTATGCATTTAAGATTTGCACTTGTGACTGTAATAATAATAATAATAATTAATAATAATACTCCCTTCAGCACCAGTAGTTCTGTTTGTGGTGAACAGTTGTTTTTCACATTGCACAGAGAATGGGATTCCAAGTGAAAAATTACTTTTTCTTCTGGGGTATGGTTGGAAATTCACTTTTTCTAAGGGAGCCTGTTTTCCTTAATAGGGAGAAAGGGAAAATTAATGCTCATTCAAGGAATAAGGTCTCCAGGCAGGGAAGCTTGCCCCTTATTTGTGGGAGAGGGGTTATCTCTCTCTTTCTCTCCTTTCTTATATGTTAGGGAGAGAACACAAGGGTAGATGAGATGGGAGAAGATAAGAAATTCCCCTTCACTTCCTTATTTCAAAGGAGCTTTCTACTGGTCTTGAAGCCCATCCTTTTGATGGGTTGGAAAGAGGAGTCACTTGTTATGTGCTGAAGATTTGCTGGAGTGCACGCCTATGTCCAAAACATATCTTGGGTGCATTAGCTGAGGAGAGCTGGCAACTGCTCCTCAACTCTGCTGGGAATTGTGCTTCCCATGTGAGAAATGACACTTCTCCGCATATCCTCTGGGGGCACTTACTGGAAGGTGAAAGAAGTCCAAAAAACTTTTCTTCTCCTCTTCTGGCAACTCATCCTATGGGCATGGATGAAGAGGAGCCCCCAGTTCACCAACCTAATGTGTTCATGATGTACCTGGGGTAGAACAGCAGTTTTAAAATATCTACGAAGGGAATGCTTTCAAGTATCAAGTGGTTCCTCCCTTCCCCCTTCCCCCCCCCCCCCCCCCGTCTCTCGACAAGGAACTGTCACACTCCCAATTCATTACTCATGGTGGCAGGTGAGAGAATCCCACCAGTTCCAAAATGCCAACAATAATTTGCCTTCTGATCATGTGATAGGCTATTTATTTTGAAACAAAACCTCCTCGTGTAGAATTTACCTAATATTTGATACCACGTGAAGTCATAAATGATACTTTCTGTAGCCCTTTTCTACTGTGGTTACACAAACTTGAAATTTCAAACATTAATAATTTTAAACCCTTTCCTTCATTTAAACTTGGCTTGATTTTCTTTCCTCTGCTGTGTGGACCACAGTTATGTGAGGTGTTATGTGAATTTTATATTGGCTGTTTTGAGTTATTTGGGCACCACAACTGTTTTTTTCAGTGAAATGTGTGGTATTCCTCATGCTCTCATAATAACTCTAATATTTAAATTAATATTGCTAAAATGTTGCAAACAAATTAATTTTTGGGCTCAGACCAAGTATGGGAAGCTTTACTCATAGACCTGAAGGAGAAAAAAGAGTTAGAATGGAATTGGCCTCTCAACCTTAAGGTGAACTGCAAAGCAAAATGAAGACTTGGTTAAGCACAGATTTCAGTACTCAGTAACCTCACAGTATCCAGGTTGTGGGGAGAATTCTGTACAGAGATTTTTAATTAATAATTTTCTAATTATTTTCCATTCTGGAAACTTCTTGATTCATCATGGTTCATTGAGGATGTCACATAATCCTTCTGAAATATTGCAGTACCATGGGTTGTAATGAGGCTTCCCTTATTTCTGATGTCTCCATCTTGAGTGTCTTCAGTGAATCATGAAGTACCAGATATCAGGGAAGGTATGAGATTTTAAAAGAATAATGATAAATTCCACACCTCCTTTCAGGTATCTGTTCTTAACCAAAGTCTCAATTTTGCTTTGGGACTTACCTCAAACGGTAACTCTTTGGAACACCATAATAGACATTTACATAGCATCTTTCTTCTCCAAAAATCTGAAAGAACTATCTATATAGTTTGTCTCTATACAGGAGTCATTCACTCATCACAGAAGTGCAGCAGTTGTTTTACTGTGTATGACAACACAGAATGAGTGTGATTTTTTTTTTATTGCTACTTTAATTCAGTCTGCAAAATCTTCAGATTCAATGATGCAACAAACTTGTTGAATCTCCTTTATGCAATGGCATGTTCATACACCAGAAACTTGGCTAATTTTAGTATCCCCACTCCAAATCATAGTTAGTTTATTTCCTATTCTGAAAATAATCTTCCTTGTTCAGAATAGATGAGCCTTACATAAGATTTTTGTCAAATGGCTTTGTTTTTCATGTTTAGGTTATACAAGAAACCAAATTTAAACAAATCTACACAGCAGAAGAAAGGTATTCAGTGAAAGTGTCTGCTTATACAAACCAAACTATTTCTAGTAACACATCCCTGAGACCAGCGCAGTTTCTCACTGTCACAGTAGATGCAGATGAAAGAAGGCAGTTGGAAAACCAACTAAAGGTAGGCCGTTTTATTTTAGTGTTTAGAAAAAAATTCTAAAGTACATAGATTGAAATACTGCCAATTTTTTGTTCAATAAAACTGTATTATTTGGCCTGGATCTGGTATGATTGTAATGAGAATATTAAAGATTTTTTGTGTCACTATTTACTATAGGATGTTAATAGATGTTTCCAGTTACGAGATTCTCAATTGCATACATTATATGAGAGGCAGAAGGGTCTGGAACGCAAAGATAATGAGCTGAGACAGCAAAAGAAGGAACGTTTGGAGAGAAAAAACAAAAGGAAACAACTGGAATCAAAAATTAGTATGAAACACGATAGGTATGACTTCTGATGAGTCTGTTTGATTGCAAATATTTTCTCTTGCTGAGACAGCATTAAGATGCAGAAATAAGTCTGAAGTATTAAAATCAGTTATGATTTTGTATGTTGGTGACTAGGGCCATTTTAATAACAAAATGGAAATAACAAGCAATCCCTAAAATGTGTCTTAGCTACCTCTAGCCCATTGATTCTGACAAGATATAATTTATTCTTAAGAACTAATTGGCAGCTGGGCTTCAGAAGTGGGGTGATATAGGTGATGCAGAATATAGGTGATTCTCCCACCTTTCACTTCTGAAATATAGGTAGGTTCATCTGTGATTGAGGTCACCGCTGAGGATATATTTGTTCTCTTAAGCTTGGTCTACACACAGTTTTGTATACTGGTGAAACGGTTTCTGATACAAATGAAGAGGGGGAGGAGGAGGAGGATTTAAAAAAAATAATTATACTGGATGTTGTTATGCCAGTATAAAGGTACCTTTATACTCTAATAGTTTTATTTCTTTTCCCTTATAGGAATAAGCATACCGATATAAGCACCTTTATACTGGTATACATGCATCTGCACTATGTTGTTGTATACTTTAACTACCAATATAGTTAAAGCAGTACAGCCTTTGTGTATAGACAAACCCTTAATCTAGTTTCCTGTGGGTGTTTTGGTCTGTTACAAGATTATCACACAATTTTACATGATCAACAGAGATGTTATCTGGTCTTTGTTTCATAAACACTTGAAAAACCAAACTGAAGCCCCAACCTTAAAAGGGTTCATCTTCAAATATTATCTTAGTACTCTCATGAAACACCATTATATTCTTTTTTTGTGATGAGATGGGAAATAAGGTACATTATAGCAAGTGCTACTAAGATAAATGGACTGACCTAAATGTGGTCATGTACCCTCCTTGCATCTTAGGCCTGGTCTACACTAGGCTTTTATGTCGAATTTAGCGCCGTTATATCGAATTAACCCTGCACCCGTCCACACCAGGAAGCCATTTAGTTCGACATAGAGCTCTCTTTAAATCGATTTCTGTAATCCTCCCCAACGAGAGGAGTAGCGCTAAATTCGAAATGGCCATATCGAATTAGGCTAGGTGTGGATGGAAATCGACGCTAATAGCTCCGGGAGCTATCCCACAGTGCACCACTCTGTTGACGCTCTGGACAGCAGTCCGAGCTCGGATGCTCTGACCAGCCACACCCCGGGAAAATTTGAATTCCTTTTCCTGTCTGGGCAGTTTGAAGCGCAGTTTCTGTTTGGACACCGTGGCGAGCTCAGCAGCAGTGGCAGCAGTGGCAACGATGCAGAGCTCTCCAGCAGAGATGGCCGTGCAATCCAATAGAAAGAGGGCCCCAGCATGGACGGATCGGGAAGTCTTGGATCTCATCGCTGTGTGGGGAGATGAGTCCGTGCTTGCCGAGCTGCGCTCCAAAAGACGGAATGCAAAGACCTATGAGAAGATCTCTAAAGCCATGGCAGAGAGAGGCTACAGCCGGGATGCAACGCAGTGCCGCGTGAAAATCAAGGAGCTGAGACAAGGCTACCAGAAGACCAAAGAGGCAAACGGACGCTCTGGATCCCAGCCCCACACATCCCGTTTCTACGAGGCACTGCATTCCATCCTAGGTGCGGCCGCCACCACTACCCCACCCCTGACCGTGGACTCTGAGGATGGGATATTGTCCGCGGCCGGTTCCTCCGACATGTTAGCGGACGGGGAAGATGAAGAAGGAGATGAGGAGGACGAGGCAGTCGACAGCGCTGGCACCGCTGATTTCCCCGACAGCCAGGAGCTCTTCATCACCCTGACAGAGATCCCCTACCAACCGTCCCCCGCCGTTACCCCAGACACAGATTCAGGGGAAGGATCAAGCAGTAAGTGTTTTAAATATCTAAACATTTATTTACAACATAACTGGCATATTTAAAATATTAACAGTAGCTAAAGTGCTTTCAAACATGTAAACATTTATTTACAACAAAACAGGAAGATTTAAAATATTAACAGTGGGTAAAGTGCTTCAAAACATGTAAACAGGAAAGTCAAACAAAAGGGGAATCTGTGCAAAGTGTATCATGATTAGTCTGTCTTTGGGCGCCTCAATATGTAGTCCGAACCATTTTCAAAAAATTTCACAATGTCCGCTTCATGATTATAGTGCCCAAAACCCTGCAGTCATTTGTCCCTCCAAGGGCACCTAAGCCAAGAACTGGTCAATGTAACCGGGGATAGAGGCGAGATCCTCCGGGGAGAACTCCTCATACGCCTCCTGCAGGTGTTTTTCCAGCCTCATGAGCAGGTTCCTGGGCAGGGAGAGCTTATTAGGCCCCCCGTGGTAGGACACGTTTCCCTGCCACAACGCCAGCAGGTACTCCGGGATCATGGCCTTGCAGAGCATTGCAGCAAATGGCCCCGGTTTCTGCAGGCTGTCCCGGAGCATCTTCTCCTTCTGGCTCTCCGAGACCTTCAGGAGGGTGATGTCTGGCATGACTCCCTGCTGTGAATTAGGTAGGGGAAAGTTAGTATTGGGACTGCTTGCCCGTCCCTTTACAGAACTGCAACCGCCGGTTTACAGCCACACGGTTTACTGCCGCGAGGGGGTGGGACAGGGCCAGAGTTCATGCTTGCAGGATTGCTGCCAGCAGAGACTCGCATTGCTTTCTATGTGAAAGGAGGCCAGTGCCACTCTTAAAGTTTTAAGCGGCCACAAGTCTACGGCTTACCATGTTTGCCAGCTAGACAAAGTCCGGTGTCCAGCCCTGCTCCTCAGCTCGCCACAGCAAGACCGCAGGCACTGTAGGCGAGGCCCGAAAATTCGACCTTGTCCTCAGTGCGCGTGTGATAGGTGCTCTGCATGGTCTTGTTCACAGAGAAAGACTATGTTCTCTGTTCACAGATACATTGCTCTGTCTCAGGAATTCACTCCCTTTTTCCAATTCCCACAGCCACATCTGCCCAGAGGCTAGCGCACATTAGGAGGAGGAAGAAGAGGACACGGGAAGACATGTTTGCTGAACTAATGGGATGCTCCAGAGCACAGGCAGCCCAGCAGACACAGTGGAGGGAGAACTTGTCCCAAATGCACCGGGCAAACATTGAACGGGAGGAGAGGTGGCGACAGGAGGACAGGCAGGCTACTCAAACGCTGCTTGGACTAATGAGGGAGCAAACGGACACGCTCCGCCGCCTTGTGGATGTTCTGCAGGACCGGAGGCAGGAGGAGAGAGCCCCGCTGCAGTCTCTCTGTAACTGCCCTGCCCCTCCACCAAGTCCCATACCCCCCTCACCCAAAGTCCAAACACGGAGGGGTGGAAGGGGCCGTGAAAAATTTCACTCCACCCCTGCGGACTGCTCTACCACTAGAAGGCTCTCATTCCCCAAAATTTGAAAAGTCCTTTCCTACCCGCCTCACACAAGACCCCGTCCAAGTTTCACGCCCCCGTTCCATGTGCGGTTGTTAATAAAGAATACATTTCTGTTCATTTCTGTTTCCATCCTCTTCTTTTGGAGGGGAGTCTGTCTGAAGGAGGGGAAGGGGCTTGGTCATTGGACAGGACAGTCACCTTTAGCAGGGGGCAGGTGCAGCAGCAGGGCACATATACAGTGCAGTGACTAGTTATCCTGGTCAGTCTGGGAGGTGGTTTTCATGTTTTGTGTGGTGGGGGCGGTGGTGTTGCTCTGTGACTTGGTGGCGGGGGAGGGCAGTTACAGATCTTATGCAGCGGTCCTTACCCTGCATCACAGAGCCGCGCAGCAGGGGATCTGTAACCCTCCTCCCCCTGCAAGACAGTCACATAGCCGACACATACACGCAGTCCCGGCCAGGAGGGCTGGCAGGCTCCGTTGAAACAACCAGTCCACCACCGCGGAGCCTGTCATTCCTGGAGTTTAGAAGCATCATTTGCATCACAACCCTAAACCCGCCCCCCGCCACAGTCTGCGTCCCAGGTTTAAAACATTCCCGCGAAAACAGTAATAAAGACAACGGTGTCCATTAACAAAACAGAACAGATTTTATTTTTTGGGAAGGGGGTGAAGGGGGTATGTAATTGGAGAGGATAGTCGACGGCAACTGGGTAAAGAAACGGGGGCAAGTTCTGCTTCTGTGTCCACAAACTTAAAAGTCACTGGGTACCCTGCTCAGCCTTGAAACTGGCTTTCAAAGCCTCCCGGATGCACAGCGCGTCCCGCTGGGCTCTTCTAATCGCCCGGCTGTCTGGCTGGGCGTAATCAGCAGCCAGGCTATTTGCCTCAACCTCCCACCCCGCCATAAAGGTCTCCCCCTTGCTCTCACACAGATTGTGGAGCACACAGCAAGCTGCAATAACGATGGGGATATTGGTTTCGCTGAGATCACAGCGAGTGAGTAAGCTTCTCCATCTCCCCTTGAGTCGGCCAAAAGCACACTCCACCACCATTCTGCACTTGCTCAGCCGGTAGTTGAACAGTTCTTTTTCTGTGTCCAGGGCGCCAGTATAGGGCTTCATGAGCCAGGGCATTAGCGGGTAGGCTGGGTCCCCGAGGATGACTGTAGGCATCTCCACATCCCCAACAGTTATCTTGTGGTCCGGGAAGTAAATACCTTCCTGCAGCCGTCTAAACAGACCAGAGTTCCTGAACACGTGAGCGTCATGAACCTTGCCCGGCCATCCGACGTAGATGTTTGTAAACCGTCCCCGATGGTCCACCAGTGCTTGCAGCACCATTGAAAAGTATCCCTTTCTATTGATGTACTGGCTGGCCTGGTGGCCCGGTCCCAGGATAGGGATGTGAGTCCCATCTATAGCCCCACCGCAGTTTGGGAATCCCATCGCAGCGAAGCCATCTATGATGGCCTGCGCGTTTCCCAGGGTCACTACCTTTGACAGCAGTACCTTGACGATTGCCTTGGCTACTTGCATGACAACAACCCCCACGGTAGATTTGCCCACGCCAAAGTGGTTCGCGACTGACCGGTAGCTGTCCGGCGTTGCAAGCTTCCAGAGGGCTATGGCCACTCGCTTCTGGACAGTCAGGGCTGCTCGCATGCGGGTGTCCTTGCGCTTCAGGGCAGGGGACAGCAAGTCACAAAGTTCCAGGAAAGTCCCCTTCCGCATGCGAAAGTTTCGCAGCCACTGGGATTCATCCCAGACCTGAAGCACTATGCGGTCCCACCAGTCCGTGCTTGTTTCCCGGGCCCAGAATCGCCGTTCAACAAAATCCACATGCCCCATTGCCACCGTGATGTCCTGGGCGCTGGGGCTCGTGGTTTCTGACAGCTCTGTGCTACTCTCCGACTTCAGGCCCTCACGGCGGTGCCGTAGCCTCCTCGCCTGATTTCTCTGCATCTGCCTCAGGGAAAGGTGTATGATAAGGTGCAAGGTGTTGAGAACGGCCACAACTGCAGCGATGGTCGCAGCGGGATCCATGATCGCAGTGCTGTGGCGTCCGCGCTGTCACTGATCAAAAAGTGCGCGAACTGATTTCCCGCCGGCGCTTTCAGGGAGGGAGGCAGGGCGGTAGTGACTGACGGATGACGACAGTTACCCAAAAGCACCCTCGCCACATTTTTTTACCCAGAAGGCATTGGGGGCTCGACCCAGAATTCCAATGGGCAGCGGGGACTGCGGGAACTGTGGGATAGCTGCCCACAGTGCACCGCTTCCAATGTCGACGCTTTCCCCGGTAGTGTGGACTGACAAAGTCGAATTACTGTCCTTAGTGTGGACACACACGTTCGACTTTCTAATATCGATTGCACATATTCGATTTAACTAAAATCGAACTACTCTCGTAGTGTAGACATACCCTTAGTGTTACAATGTTGCTTCATTTTCCTAGGACATCGTTAGAGGATAAAGTATAAACAGTGGTTTCTAAATTCAGATTCAGTTCTGCTTTGTTGTCCAGCCAGAATGGGTTATAGCAAGTTAAACCTTCCTCCCAGAAACTAATTCTGTCGCTTAATCTCCATTAGTCCAGTGAAGACAAAATCCTGAAGTTTCTCTTTAATTCAGATCTCCTAATCAGTTGTACGTTGCACTGCTTCAGTACCAGAAAACTCGGTCACTTTTTTTCTTAAGGTTTATCATATAGTGGAGAAGATATTTTGTGTCAGTAAAAAGAGGAGGCAAATAATTTTTGAAGCTTTGTGCTAATGTGTAACCACTCTTAAAATATTTGACCAAAATTTTGAAACTGGACTCCTAAATAAGTGGCCAAATTTTCTTAAGTCAGTGGGAGTGCAGATACTCAGCATCTCTGAAAATCAAGCCACTGTTATTTAAGAGCCTAACTTTGGGAAACCAGGGTTAAAAACATAAGCCAAAATTTCCAAACTCTCTTCTGCAGTGAGTGCAATAATAGAAGATAAGTAGCTGTTTTTCATAAATTAATACATATAACAGAAATTAAAGAAAACAGCCTTAACTCCGTCTTGTAACGATGCGATGAAGGGGGAAAAAATCAGTTTCATCTTTTTGGGAACACACTCTAAAATGCCTTAGTTGTAATTATATCCTCACTGAATGACATCATTACAGGGTAGAGTTAGGATTGTTTGAGTGTCTTAATTGTGCATTACTTGCCTTAACATGTTCAGATTTCTTACAGGTGTAATCTTAATTCTGAATTTCTTGGGTTGAAAATGCTTGGTTTGGGGATAATGACAAGGATGTTGTAAGATTCTTTACTCTAAATTTAGACCTAGTCTACACTTAAAACTTAGGTCAACCTAGCTTCATCGCTCAGGTCTGAAAGTTTTTGCATCCTGTGCAACATAGTTAGGTTGACCTAACCCCCACTATAGACACAGCTAAGTCGACAGAAGAATTCTTACATCAATCTAGCGACTGCCTGTCAGAGAGGTGGATTACCTACATCAACAGAAAAACCCCTTCTGTCAATGTAGGGAGTATCTACACTACAGTGCTACGGCACCACATCTGCAGCATCATAGCTGTGTGACTGTAGCGTCTGTAGTGCAGACATACTGTTAGTGATACATACTCTCAATCTTAACAGTCAAAATACTCTTTATTACAGTATCTGATAGCTGTACCGTTATCATGTAGAAGAATCTAAGTTCTGGAATAGGATAAATTCAGTTTTGGGTTTGAGATGGTGTTCTAATCCATAGAGCAACATTATCACCTTTTTTGGAAAGCTGACCTGCATTTAGTCTGCTTACAGATGATAGAAAAAGGGCAACTAGGATGATCCGAGGAATGGAAAACCTTTCCTATGAAAGGAGACTCGAGGAGCTTGGTTTGTTTAGTCTAACCAAAAGAAGGCTGAGGGAGGATATGATTGCTCTCTTCAAATATATCAAAGGGATAAATACCAGGGAGGGGGAGGAATTATTTCAGCTCAGTGCTAATGTGGACACGAGAACGAATGGATATAAACTGGCCGTGGGGAAATTTAGGCTTGAAATTAGACGAAGGTTTCTAACCGTCAGAGGGGTGAAATTTTGGAACAGCCTTCCAAGGGAAACGGTGGGGGCGAAAGACCTCTCTGGCTTCAAGATTAGGCTAGATAAGTTTATGGAGGGAATGGTTTGATGGGATTACGTGATTCTAATCAATTAGGCAATAACGGCCATCGCTGGTAAAATGAGGGTCTGGCTAGAGATTCTTGCCTGTATGCTCGGGGTTCTGCTGATCGCCATATTTGGGGTCGGGAAGGAATTTTCCTCCAGGGTGGATTGGCAGTGGCCCTGGAGGTTTTTCGCCTTCCTCCGCAGCATAGGGCAGGGGTTGCAAGCTGGAAGATTCTCTGCGACTTGAAGTCTTTAGATCACGATCTGGAGACTTCAACAGCAGAGCTAAGGGAAAGTGGGGGGGTCAGCTTTTGTGGCCTGCATCATGCGGGGGGTCAGACTAGATGACCATATTGGTCCCTTCTGACCTTAAAGTCTATGAGTCTATGAGAAAAAGGAAATGGAGGAGGAATGTAAGATTTGTTTTAGAACCATAGTTAAGAATGAGATCCCTTTTACAGATAACATTTTCTGCTGAATTTTTTACAGAATCCTTTAGGATGGGTTGGGGCAGGAAGTCAAGAGGCAGAAAAATCAATTCCCCTTTTTCTTTATTTAGTAAGGGCAGTTGGACCTCTTCTAATTTTCAATGTATTCATTTATGATGGACGCTTTGGGATTAACAACCTGGGTATCTCAGCATGATTTAATCAGTATTAATAATAAATTGGTTTCTTTCATAGTTTGAAACAGATGGAGCAAGATGCCATCAATCTAGAAGAGGAGTCTCAACAAACAAATGCCAGGATCAAAGAAATTAATGTCCAAAAAGCAAAACTTGTTACAGAATTAATGCAACTCATAAAGGTATGGCTCCTTCTTAGCTTTATACACATTTTTCCTTGTCGTGAAGGACCTAGTATAGTTAAAAATAAAAAGGGGGGGGGGAGTGGAGCTGCCTTAATAGTGGGAGGTGTTTTGAAATGTCAGTTTTTATTGTTAAAAGAGCTAAGTTTACTTCTGCTACATGAATATGCTTTTTGTTTGAACATAGCCCATATAAACTCTCTCCACTTTCTGTTGTTGGCATGCACAATTTACTAAATGGGTACTTAAATATTATAAACTGACTTGGATAAAAGCTGCCATCTTGCTGGCTAAAGAGGCTTCCAGCCCATAAAATTGCCTAGCAAACATATGTGCAGTATATAACCTTTTCACCAAATTTCTTCTATCCCCATATACATTTTTCAATTAATTTTATTTTCCTTAGACCCCTTTCTTATCGTTACTTCTATATGAACATATTTTCTTGGTCTTACAAAAAATACCCCAGTTTATGATAATTCAAAAAGAAAAATCTTTTCTGTAATTTTTTCTAATTTATTTTGTCTTTTTGACAGCACTTGTGCATATTTCATTTGTGTTTCCTCTGCATAGTTAATTTGTCTATTTCAGGTGGGTTTTTCACACAGCACCTGAGACATATCTCGCCCTTTTTTACAAATTGTAAAATGCAATTGTAAAATCACACAAATCAACGGGGGGTCAGCTGCAGTAGCTGAAATTACTTTGAACTTGGGTTTTTAAAGAACTGACTAGTTTTCAATTTGTCTGTGGCCCTTCAATAATTTTAAACTCCTTGGAATAGCAAATCAGTCATACATATTATAAATATTGTGTACACCTTTGTTGTTGTATAAATGGTAATGGCCACTTCTTTGGGAAAGGTAGAGAACCATAAAATAAAATCCTTAAGTTTTAATAATCAGAGTAGATATTCTTCCCACTCCTTAGTTATCTTCTTCAATTCCCAGGACTTTTGGGGGGGCTGCTTGTGCTAAATGACCTCCTGTGTTCTGTGAAAGCCTTCAGTTGTTTCCTACCACCTTTGGGGGTGAGTGTTTTTGTGGATACAGACTAATACGGCTATCACTTAAATCCTTTTTTTTGGGTGTTGCCTATGAAATAATGCTGGTTCTACTGCACTGAATAGCCAGCATTAAAAGAAGTTTCTGCTTACCATGTCAAATAGATGAGTTGTTTTGGAGTGTATTGGTAAGCCCTGAATGGCAGCGGTTGGAGTCTTTCACAGATCATGTAGGATCATCTGGCTGAAGCAGCTTTGAAAACCACAGAGAATTGCAGAAGATAACCAATTTTAAGGCACGGTGGGCCCCCACGGTTTTTAAATTACTTTTAAAAAGTAATTTTGTATAGGTGATATGCTGTTATTAAGCAACTACTTTTTCAAAAGGAATATTATTTTTATGAACAAACAATTTTCTAAATTAAATTTTAAAATATCAGTTTATAAGAACAACAGCACATTCTAGGATGACTGTCAGTCAACTTACATGCTTATTGGGTGTAGTTAGTGTTCCTCTGCTTCTCATACACAGCACAACTAAAGTGGCATGTACAGTTATAGACCAGTGAACACCCTGTGTGGAGGAGTATTTTTTATTTTTCTCCTCCCGCTACCCCATAGCAAACTGGCTCTCTAATATACTTTCTATTCCTCGGCAATACAGATTGGAAGGTATTTGATTGCCCAGCTGCATGGAAGAATGATAGTTGTTAATTATGTGTCACAGGAATGTATATCGATTATACAACAGTCAAGGCTACACAACCATCTCAGTACAGTGTTTCAAACTGAAGAGTAAAATGCTCAGCCAAATTAACAGGCTGCTGCTATGTACTGTCTCTTTAAAGGAGCAGTGAACTGCGTAAGATTTTGTGAGTGTTCAAATGAGAAGGACTAGATATTGCAGAAAGAAGTTTTGGGGGGAGCACTCAGTGCTGGAAGGGTTGTTGAGGTCCTCCTGCAAAGAGTAACTGGATGGTGAAAGCCTGAATGCTTGTATGCTGGCTGTTGGTGTCAGGACTGTGAGCCACAGCAGCATAGTATTCTAGGCAACTAGAATTGCAAAGCAGGTGGTGAGTGTGAACTCCTTGTTAGCCTGGGTGAACCCCAAAGTGTGACACATTAAGTAATTGTTTTTCCCTCTTTTTGTTACAGAACTCTAGCTCTTGTTTTTCCTTAAATAGCTGTAGCCTTTAAAAATTGCACACTTTTTTCAAATAATGTAATCTTAGGTTTTTAAAAAAGTCACTTCACAATTTTTGTAACTTTGAAGCAGAGGATTTTCCTAGATGTTGTTTACATAACCTTCACAGCTGTAAGTAATGTTAAAAAAACAAATCTATATGTTTAGTTGCACATCATGCACACCAGCAAAGCTCTGATTTTGCTACAAAATAAATTAGACGTTTAGCTTCCTTGTGTGGGAGAGACAAGAAATACTTAAACAAACAAGCACCTTGCTGCTTCAAGAAACAAACTGAAAACAAAATTGGGTTGGAGAGCTGAATCTGGAGTCCAAAACTTTGTATAAAAATTGGTATCTTGTAAGCTGGTTTGTAAAGCCTGATGCTGCTGACAATGTATCAGTTTCGAGTGTTTCACGACAAAGGAGATTTATGTTTTTTGTGTTTTTGCTCTGCAGAATTGCATAACACTGAACATCCTCAAAGTGGATTTGGTTCTTCAGAGCACTACAGTGAATTCCAAGAAGAATAGACTAGAATCTGATTATAAAGCAGCAACTGTACAACTAAGAGCTTTAGAGGTAAGCTTTGCTTTTTGTTTCTTGGTGTATTGGTAAATCAACTTTGAAAACACACCTTTTGTCCGGAGGCCTCCGCACTCAGGAATGGGCTGCTTCTGTTCTCTTTCTTAGTAATAGGTATCTCTACTCCTGTTGCTAAGGTTTTTGTGCTTTCTGAAGCTTTCATCAGTTCTCCAGTCCCTTTCCCTTCCAGGTGAAAAGGAGCTTTGCTTTCCCATGCTAACCAAGATGGCTACCTCTTCTGTGAAGATGTGCCCTAAACACTTTAAACAGTGTGGAACTGGCATAATATCCTTCATAGCGGGACCCTTTGGCCCAGTCTGTCATTTAGAAATGTCATCTTCCTCCAGTGAGTAGCTCCAGTTGGGACCAACCTTCCAGAACTGACACTTGGTAGTGGACTGACCCAAATGGGATCTGATGAAGATCTGGAGGAAAGCACATTCAAGTAGGATAGGGCTGAGACCCTAGTTCTCCATAGCTGTTTTCCTTATCCTTTTTATTAAACTCCTGCCTTTGGGGAGGCCTAGCGGAATGAGTGGGAGCAAGTTTCTTCCCCATTGCCATTTCTCCTACACTGTGACTTTTAAATGTTAGAAAGTAATGCGCTAAATGTTTCACATAAACTAATTTTATGGAGGAATTTAGCATATATGGTAGACATGAGAACTTTCATAATTTCTGGCCTGATCCTGCAAGTACAAAATTCCCTTTCCTGGCAGTGAGAATTTGGGTGTGCAAGAGGGGTCCCATATTTTCAGTTCACCGGTGACCTGAATCAACATCACTTGTTGGACAACTGCATGTAGCAGAAAAGTTGAAATAATAAAATAAAGCTTTCAAGAAACTGCAGGCAAAGGTACAGAAACTGGTGCACAGAAGTAGTAATTAGTATGAGGTATTACAGAAATTATGTAGTGAAACTAAATTAAAACCTACACATTATGATTAAACATCAGATTAATTGCCAAATAATCAACAAAGACCGCTGCAGAACACATGTTACTCTTGCTGCCATTCGTGAAGATCAGAGCAGGGGACAGTTTAAAAAAAAAAAAAAAAAAAAAATTCCAAACCAGTGGTGCCTGCAGCCATATGCACATTACACATGGTGCGTACCATTGGTGGGGTAGAGCTGCTCCGGTGCCAGGCATCCCAACCTGAGTGACACTGGAACACTGCACAGTGACTCTCAATGCCACTCGTTGAGATTTGACCCGGTCATGATGGAGGGGTGGATGGGCCAAACTTGAGTGGTGCCGTGCTGAGTTAAAGTGAGAGTGGTTCAGTTCTGCATACCATGTGAAAAATTTCTGGTGGCGCCCCAGGAGAAATCCGGGGAACTCTTGCTAATATTGCATTTATTAATATTGTTTCTCTTATTAAAAGTTGTTAGTCTTTAAAATATTGTTATAAGACTTGAATGTCCCATAAAACCCAATTCATTCCCTCTTCCAGAGGAAAGAGGGCTGCATATGTTCATGTGTGAGTTGTCAGCACTGGGATTCCGTGGAAATAGCAGCACATTGGGTATATTTTAGACACTTGGATTGAAATGCATTTTCCTTCCCAACGTTTATGCTTCAGAATGTGTCACGTTAGTAGCAACAGATTTGTGGGTTTTTTTGTTTGTCATGGCAGCTCAAGTCAGAACCTTAGTATTATTTTAACAACTTTTTGTATTTAATTTGTCTAATGAGCATGAGAAGCAAGTGTGTGTTTATGACCCATATTGAACAGTAGGGAGGATTGTTAGCCCCATCTGCTCGTTAGATAATTGGCACAGTCGCCTTTGTGTTTATGCTGATTGAAAGAGACTTGCTAATTGTCTTGCTTTGATAGCTTGTTAATTTTTAGGTTCATTTGGTGTAATTTTTTTAAATGATTGGTATTAAACTCAGTATGTACGTTATTTTTTCTTTTAGGCCAAGTTTGAAGAAAATGCAATTCTGTTTTCCTTCTGTATGAATTGCCCATCTTTAATTATTTAAATACTGTCACTAAGAATGCATTCAAACACACATTCATGGGAAAATATTGGCTACTGGCTACTATATTTTCTTTGACTAGTTTCTCATTTCCCACAAAACCAATTGCACTGGTTATGAACATAAAAGAATACAAATTGCTTATGAAAATAGAATGTGAGAGGGTTCTAGTATCCAGTAGCTATGCCTTAGCTCCACTCTAGCATAGAACTCTCTCCCTCACTGCCCAGACTAACCTCTCTTCCTGAATTAGTTCTTATATTGTCAGCTGAAATAATAGTAACACATAGCTCACCCTAAGTCTTCTCCCTTAAGCTAGAATTTCCCTCTAGGACCCATCTATTCCAGACAGTAATTCACTGTGCCCAGAGGGGCACTCTCACATCCCTTATATCCAGGGTGGGATTAACTAACTGTACTTGCCAAATGTTAGCATTTCCATGAAATATTCGAACACATCATAATTGGATGGGTCTATAGAAGGTTCCACATGTATGTACTTATATACATACTTAAGTGTGTGTGAGAAAATATCCATCTCATGTGGATGTGTTAGCCAGGTAATAAATATCAGTCATGTGATAAATGAATTTATCACACACATTTGAATGCCTCACCTACCTACTAATCCATTTCTCCTGGTATTTATTCTAACACTTGTACCCGGAACAGCTTCAAACACCTGATTTTTTTCTTTTTAAAAAATCAGCCTGCCTCCTTCTCTTCCCAAATACATGTGTTTCCCCCAAAATTACAGCTGCCAAACGGCCTGGACAGGCAAAATTCAGTCCTGTGCCTGAAAACATCGCTTTAAGGCCTATTTCGTGCAGCCCTGCAGAGTTATAAATGGGAGCTTCTAGCCTTGGAATTGCCAGAGATGACAGACTATAAAATTGACATTTTTATGTACAGAAAAACGATATATGTCATTTTCACAGGTTCTTTTGGCTTCTTTTGAACCCTGTATGTTTGGACTCATGATAATGAAGGCAATTGGCTTTTAAAGTGTTGGGATACAAAAAATAATCTGTTACATTTTGAAAACTCGCTAAAATGTTCCTAAATATTTTTCTGTAATATATAGCATGAATAAACACATAGTGGAGCAGGTGTGGTGAGGGATGTAGGTTTTATTGACACTCATTTAGAGTGACCTGTGTAACTCACTTTTGGCTTGTGAGTAATTGGGCTATCCCAAACTTGTGACAATAAGTTTAATGCTACACCACACCATCATGAATTCTTCCTTTCTGTCTATATGCACACAGTGCTCAAAAAAAAAAAAAAAAAAAATTAGCATTAACACAACATTAGAGAAATCAAATTTTCAGAACTAAAAAAAGGTAGAATTAATGCCAAGAAATTGCAGTTATTTGTGCTTTAAAAATACCTACATAGAGGGTTGAAAATTCCATCTTAATTTTCTCCTATGCTTCTACTTTAAAATGGGGCTCTTTTTATATCATTATAAAATACCTGTTCAAACTGTGTAGTTCTTTACAACTTTACATATGCAGCCTTTAATGCCTTGCTTGATTTTTTTTTTTTCAGTCGCAAGACTTCAAAATAGTTGTCAGGCCTTGCTTGATTTTTAAGTTGTAATGAGATCTACAAAACAAGCCTAGTTTTCAGAAAATTAGTACAGAAATTTAAAATTCTGACTATTAAAAGCCGAATGGACTAACATTCAAGGTAACTATTACATGGTCCTCAGGTATACAAACGACAGAGCTTGATGTGATTCAGAGTCTCAAACCAAACTAGCAGTGAATTAATCTAAAAAGCTTCGCATGAATGTTTTAACATGCTGATTTAAACTTTCATAACTTTAGAACTGTTGAACTAATTTTATTAAAATTTATTTTGTCCTTAAGTGGAAGGTCCCTAACTCTGTGGGTATTTTTATACTTTGTGGTTTTATTGCACCTTTTTCTGACGATATCAAAGCACTTTAGAAAAATGTATTAAATCTCACAACACCTCTTTAAGGATGATAGAGAAGTATGATTTCCATTTTACAGAGGGTGAAACAACAGGCACATTGAGGTTAACTTGCCCAACTTTGTCTAACTTCAGAAATACTGAACCACTTTTGTCCGTAAAACAGCCACGTTTGCAAGTTATGCAGGTGAACACTTCTGCTCAGGATTTATGGAATATGTTTTTGTCCGTCTCTCCCAACCTCCCCCCGCCCCCACCATATGCAGAGCCTAAATGTTTGAACGTATATTACACATGCTTTGGGAAGAAAAACTTCTCCTTTGGATTGATACCTAGTGTAGAAAATGTCAGTCAAAAATATGTATGCCAAACTCTTGAACACCTGTAAGAATTGAGGTTGCATTTGTCTTAAGTATAACTGTTACTACTACTTGTGTTGTATTATTTAGAACAGTGATATGAATTAATCTAATTACATTGACAGAGAGTAACTTAAACAAGTTTTATTGTAAGTACTCTCTCTATAGGGTGGTCAGTATATTTTTAAAATGTGAAACGGACACTTCATCCAGTAGAATACACAAGTATTGAGTCTTTAGTTAACTGTATACATTTTAAAACATTTTTGGTCCCATTTTTGTCCCATGTGATTCCTGGTTTATGTCGGGGTGTAAATGTATGAAAATTACATGAAAATTGTTTATAATTGACTGTGCTTTCAACAAAAGTGAAAACAAGATCTTAGTCCCTGCCCCAAGGAGTTTACAGTCTAGAGGTTCTAGCTTTGATTGATAGACACATGTAGCACGATTTTTCTAAATTTGCTCTTAGTCATTACTGTGAAACTGTTACTTAGTATCTTTCGCCTGTAATAGTAAAGGTAGCATATGAGAGATGAAGAAAAATACATTATTTCCTGTTTAATATACAGCTAATCTGTTTGTACTGTATAGTTTCAACTTAAATATTCTTCGTAATGCAAATCCTATTTACTAGATGGCTCTGTCATGTCTAGTAGAAAAACTAGTGCTAGTTGGGAGGCATGATACAAAATAAAGAAACACTGCAATAGTCCATCTCTTCCACCACCAAATTTTAAAGCAGAGATCTACATCTGGACCTAGGCAGAGATCAAAACGGTGGCTCTCTTTGTGAAAAACACATTCATATATTTTACAATTGGGCGCTCAGTTTGATCCATTCACTCAGATCTGCCATCCCTTTAGTTAAAAAAACAAAAAACAAAAATTTAAAAAAGTTGTTTTTGAAGGGAGGGATTATTTTCAACCTCTGTAAACAATCTGCTATGATTTCACAAATCACCTCTCTGAATCTGACATGATTAATGCTAGTTCTAATGGAGATGGTGGAGTTGGAGTGTGTGAAATTGATCATTTTTGTCATTAAACTTTCTTCTGTAGTTCTCTCTCTCTCTAGAACAATTGAACTTCATGCAGGATCACAGATTGATTGACTGTAACTGAAGGCAATGGAGTTTTCTTTAAAATAAAACATCTTTTTATTTTAATTTCTTCTATAATAGCAACAAGTTTCTGACTTGGGTGAAAAAAAACGTGTTCTTTTGGAGAAGTGCAAGGGACTGATGAGAAAAGCTAGACAGGCGTGTAATCTCAGCCCTGATCAAGAAATTCCAAAAGACTTTCAGACTGTAAGTATTAAAAACAAAAAGCACATTTTTATAAGGGTGTAATGGTATAACATGAAGAGATACTTTCGCTAGCTAAGACTGTTCATTTATAATATTCAGAACTATGCTCTTTTAGTGCACCTGCACCTAAAGCAAAATAGTCTGTTTGCGAAAGCTAGAAGAGTGAATTCCCAATTTCTCCTTACTTCCTGCTCCAGGTTCTTACAGTTATGTAGTACAAGTCAGAGCAAACTCTACTTCTTCTCCTTAGGGACTCTACCCTGCCTTTCTATGCCTTCTGCTTTTCAGCCTGATCCAAAGCCCATTGAAGTCAATGGGCTTTGGATCAGACCACAAGATCCCTGTTTTGATTCTCTGGTTAATCTCTTCCCTGACTACTTTAATAAGGGGCAAGGGCACCCCTTTTTCAAGATCCTTGTTATATATCTTTGTAATTCTGCCCACTCCCTTTAAAAACAAACAAAACCCACTTCTCAATAAAACAAATCTGGAGTTTGTAAGACACGTTCTTTCGGAAGTATGTTGACCCAGCCCTACCTTAGCCTGCCTTAGTCCCGCTGCGTGCCACTGCCACATCAGAGCCGCTCCAGGTAAGCGGCGCCAGGACGGAGCCCGCACCCCGAACCTCTCCTGCACCCCAACCTCCTGACCCAGCCCTACATTCATGGCCCTGCATGCAATTTCCCCACCCAGATGTGGCCCTCGGGCCAAAAAGTTTGCCCACCCCTGCTGTAGTTCCTCCCTCTGCTGTTGGCCTCACTTTTCCTGCCCACAGTGCTCCTCTACAGCCTTCCCTCCCTTTGTTTTTACCTTCCCTATCTCCTCTCCATCGGCCTATTGCCTCTTTTTGCTTCCCCTTCCTCCAATTCCCGCTTAATGCCACCTCTACCTTTTCCTTCACTTTAAAATCATCCTGATTATAAATGCTTTAAAAAATACATGCAAGTAAGCTTTCTTGAATGTTCATCTTGTCTCTGACCTTTCCACCCTGCACGCTACCTAGGCCTTTCTGTTTTGTCTTCCCTTGTTATGTCATGTATTCATTATGATCTCTTCTGAGCAGGAAGTGTATGTTTGTCTGGAAAGCACCTCTCTCAAAAGAAGTTTCCCTTTTTCTTTATTTTTAATTCAGTCCTCCACCTAACCCCTTTGCCCGTCATTTGTTTTTGCTTCTCTAAAATAAAACTTGGTCTTGCAAAACCTTACTTGTATCAATATTGCCATTTACTTCAATATAAAGAACTGTTCATGTAATGATTTGCATGATCATTGTGCCCTTAAATTGTCATCTTCTCAAGAATAGGGACTATGTCTGTAAAGCAGGTGCTATATAAACTTAACTACCACTCCCCCCAGGATTTAAATAGTATTTTAAGTTTAGTTCATTTTTACACTGTTATGAAAACTGGTATATCCCATGATCACAAAAAGGGTTTTCCTTGTTATTTATTCTATATACACAATAGGGGAGGGAGAGAATTTGTCAGGTTAATTAATCAAAATTCCCACTTTAAAGGAAAGAAATTTGGGCCAGATTCTCCTTCCTATTCCAACTTAGGCAACATGAAAGGCCCAGAGCCTGGATGTATCTGGGCAGCCGAGTATTCCTCCTGTGTGGGAAAGCGCTCATCTGGCATAGCCAGCTCTTATACTACCATCCCCTTTCTGGATGCATGACCAGAGTGCCACTGCACTCCAACAGTTCTCAAGTAGTGGGGCTCTTATGGACCATTGCCAGGTGACAGGGTTAGAGCAGCTGCACCAGGTTTGGGGCTACACCTGCACAGGCAGAGAATTAGGGAGCCATAGTTAGCTTCCCAACAGCCCTCCCTCATCCCCCCCACACCAAGCACTTCTCAAGAGAAAATCTAGCCACTTAAATTTAAATGGATTGTGTCTTAATAAAGTGATCTAATGACTAGCAGTGTCCTTGATTGTCCAATTTCTTGCTACTTTTTAGTCATATTTCAAGCCTCTCTCAACATTAAACTATCTAATGAATAGATTGTTATGCTTCTTGTAGGCATTCCAGGACCTTCCAAGCACATTGGATGAAATTGACGCTTTACTGAATGAAGAGAAATCAAGAGCCTCCTGCTTCACAGGCCTAAATGCTTCAGTATGTTTCCTCCAGTATTGTTCTTGCTTCCCACTCTGTACTAGAACTCTTGGTAATAATAAGCTAGACAGCAGGAACAATGTGCTATAAATGCCAGATTCTGAATCTATTAGAATTTTAAGTAGGTTCTTCCAAAGGAACAGCATGTTCTCTGCCTTTTGTTTAGAGAAAAATAGTTGGGTTAACCTGAAATACAGCCATGGCTTAGTTGCTCTTTGCTTTAGAGAGACTAGTGTGTCCTGTTCAATGTATAAACCGTGCATACACTACTTAATTATATGTAAACAAGTGCAGTGTTTACATGTGTGTATTTTACTGTTAAGGTTTGAATTGATAAATATCTATTTTGTCAATTTGAAAGACTATATTTTTGAAGGATAATGCTTTTTCCTGACAGGTTGTTGAAGAATATAATAGAAGGGCACAAGAAATACAGCAAGTAACGGAAGAACTAGAGGAAAAGAAAAACGAATTGGAGAGCTATAGGCAAAACATTTCACAGGTAATATATGAAATCATTACTGTAGTATAATGAATGTAGGAGAAACATAAATGGGTATATACTTTTATTAAAATGCATCATATTCATTTTAAAAGACATTTCAAGTTTGATGCTAGGAAAAATGAAATGTTAGCAACTGCTGTATGCAGTAGTGTTATAGCCATGTTGGTCCCAGGATGTTGGAGAGACAAGGTGGATGAGGTAATATCTTTTATTGGACCAACTTCAACTTCTGTTGGTGAAAGAGACAAGCTTTCAAGCTTATACAAAGCTCTTCTTCAGGTCTGGGAAACTAAGGGCTTGTTTACCCTGGCAGGTTACAGCGCTGCAACTTTCTCACTCAAGGGTGTGAAAAAACACCCCCTCCTGAGCGCAGCAAGTTTCAGCACTGTAAAGCGCCAGTGTAGACAGCACTGGGAGCTATGTCCCTCGTCGAGGTGGGTTTTTTTAGCGCGCCAGGAGAGCTCTCTCCCAGCACTCTGCCGCAACTACACAAGCCACGTTAAAGTGCTGCTGCGGCAGCGCTTTAACATTGCCAGTGTAGACAAGCCCTAACTCAGAGTGTCACTGTTAAATACAAGGTGGAACAGATTGTTAATTTAGCATAAGTAGTTAACACATATTTCAAAGGATCATTCAAGATAAAGTGGCCTGTTAACACCCCTCCAGTCATAGGGAGGAAAGGAAGTTGGAAGTAGCTGGCGGTGGCGGGTGTTAGCGGATTACAGATTGTTATAATAAGCCATAAATCAAGTGTCTCAGTTCACAGGGCCGGCTTTAGCAAGAGCGGGGCCCGATTCCTGGGGGCGGGGCTTGCGGCAAGCCCCACCCCCAGGAATCGAGCCCCGCTCCAGCTGGGGTCGCCGGGCTTGGGTCCGTCCCGGAGCCACTTGGCGGCCAGAGCCGAGCCGACGGGGCCGGGCCGGAGCTGAGCCAAGCCGTGGGGGCTGGGCCAGACCCGAGCCGCGCTGCGCCGCGGGGGCCGGGCCAGACCCGAGCCGCGGGGGCCGGGCCAGACCCGTGCCGGAGCCGTGGGGGCCGGCGCGCTCGGCCGAAACTGGGGCCGGAGGTAGCTGCTTGGCCGGGGCTGGGCTGGGCCGCGCCTCCCTGGAGCCCTTCTCTCACCCCCCACCACCCCAGCTTACCTGGTGCTGCCTACCCGCCCCTGCTTCTTTTCAGACTTCCCGCGAACCTCTGATTCGTGGGAAGCAGGGGAGGGGGAGGAGCAGGGGGCGGAGCGTTCAGGGGATGGGAGGAGGGGGAAGTGAGCTGGGGGCGGGGTGGAGAGCTGCGTCGCGGGGCCCTCTTAGTGCGGGGCCCAATTCAGCCGAATCGGCTGAATCGGCCTAAAGCCGGCCCTGTCAGTTCATTCCGTGATTTTTAGTATCTGGCAAAGTTTTATGAATTTAAGGTCCCAGGCTCATCTTTTCAAAGTGTTATGCAGGTTTCCTTTGATGATGAGGACTGATAGGTGAGATACAGAGTGATTGCTTTGTGAAAAGTGTTCACCCACAGGTGATAGGGTGTTTTTATCTTTTATCATTTGCCTGTGTGAGTTCATTAAAGAGCATAGTGATTGTCTGGTTTCACCCAAATAGTTGCTATTGGGGCATTTAGTTTACTGGATGAGGTTTTCCACATGTGTAGGACCCATGGTTCTTGAAAGATGTTTTGTAGGGGGTGTTGATCATTGTAGCAGTGCAGATGTGTCTGCAAGTTTTGCATCTGTTCTGGCAAGGTGCTGCTTTGAGTTGGTATGGCCTGATCTGTGGGGAGATTGCTTTTGATGATGAGCTTGGAGAGGTTGTGGGGGTTGTTTGAAGGCCAGAAGAGGGGTTTTCAGGAAAGATTTATTTCAGGATGGGGTCCCCATCGAGCATGGGCAGCAGGTATAATATGCCAGGGGAGGCTCTGCCTCCCCTAGCGCAGCCGCTGCTTCGGGACCCGGTTGCAGGTTTAGCGGGTGAAATTTTTGCTTTTTATTATGCCCCATGCAGGTTCCGGGGCGACTGAGGAGGCAGTATGTGCTCCTGGGTTTATTAATATTCTCCCTGGACTCTAGGAAGATTACTGATGAACGCGGGATGCTGTCTGAGTAACACATACCGCCTCCTCAGCCACCCCGGAACCTGCATGGGGCATAGCAAAACCTCTTCTTTCTTCCAGAAGAGAGAAGAAGAGAAGAGCTTTTTAATTTTTGTGGGGCGGCTTGGGGTCTGCAGAGGGGAGGCGTGGGTGCAGGGGGTTCCGGCTGCCCTGGGACTCCTCTGAGCAGGTTTGGGGAGGCGCTCAGGGCTCTGGCTGGCCTGGGGCTCCTCTGGCCGCAGAGGGGGGAGTAGGTTTTGGGGCTTGGGCCCCGGGAGGGGGGGTAGTAAGGGAGGCTCGGGGCGCTCTGGTCGCGGGGGGAGAGGGGGTCTCCAGCTGGGGGGTTGGAGGGGGATTCGAGGGGCGGAGCCAGAGTCTAGCCTCCCTGAAATGGGGCTCCACACCGCCCATGCCATCGAGTATGAGTTGTAGTTGTGCGATGATACCTTGTCTGGGTTCCAATATGGGGTGGTAGATAACAACTAGAGGTGTGCATTTGGAGTGGGTTTTATTTCTGTATTGCAGCAGGATCTCTTGGATTATTTGGGTGGTCCAAGTGATGCGATCTACTTCTCTGGTGGAGTGTCTATGTTTGGTGAAAGTTTTGAATGTGTTAAGGTGTATATCCCAGACTTTCTCTTCAGAGCATATTCTGTGGTATCTGAGTGCCTGGCTGTATATAACCGTTTTCTTGGTCTGTTTTGGGTGGTTACTTGATCTATAAAGGTAGGTATGGTGATCTGTGGGCAATTTTTAATGTAAATTTCACTGTAATAGTTAAATTTGGTATTTTGTTAATTATAGCTTCAACTGTAAATTCTTTCAGAGGTTGTTTTACATTAGTCTCTTTATTTTTAGGTTAAAGAAAGGTGGCTAACACCTTTGAAACAGCTGGTTGAACAAATTAATGAAAAGTTCAGTAATTTTTTTAGTTCTATGCAGTGTGCTGGTGAAGTTGATCTTCATACAGAAAATGAGGTATGATTACATTTCCATATCTATGAAGAATAACGTCTACATTTTAATTTTTTTGTGCTTAAATGTCTCAAAATGAGACAAAATGATTTGTAATTTTGTTATGGGGAAAAAGGGGGGTCACCTCCAGGCATTAATTTTAAGTCCTCTTGATCCTTTTACATGAAAATCTAACTTCTCTTTAAATACCAGAACTAACTAATTTATGTCTCAACCAAAGAAAGCAGGACCACCAGCTGTATAACCGTCAGTCTTATCAGAAGTTTCCAAAGCCAGATGGAGCTGAGTAATGCACTTATTTCAAAGATTAGTTTGTCTATCACATTCTTCTTAAGGATGTCTAAACCTTTCTAGATCCCAACTTTCTGGATGTGCATGTACCCTCTCTGTCAAAGCAGAACCTTCTGGAAAGAGCAATGATTGTTGGAGCCACCCACATGCTTCATCACAAGAACCAAGGGGAATACAAGGAACCATGGCCCTGATCTTACCCCAAGTTCCTTTTTGATCACTGCAGTAGATGGAAACGGAAACCTTGGCTCTTCCTCGCCCAACCTTCCTGGTCCTATTCTAGTTCTAGTAGTTAGTTAACAGCTCATGGTTGTTTGCTGTTTAGCATTAAAAAATTGCATTGACTTAGTTATTCTGTATTTCAGGATGATGCTGCAGCTTAATTGCTAGTCAAGAGCTGATTCTACCCCTCACAGTAGTACAGATTGGCTCTGTTGTTGGTTACTGTTTAGGTCTGTCCATTTCAGTCTATATTTGGCAGTTGTTTCTATATTTTGGTGCAGCATCAGTCAGGTTTGTTCCGCATTCAGTCATTTGTGGTGAACTGTTATGCTTTCAGTGGTATTTGAGAAGTATCTCTTAGTCTGGCGAAGTGGGTATTCACCCACGAAAGCTTATGCTCCAATACGTGTCTTAGTCTAAGGCTACGTCTTCACTACGGGGGGGGTCGATTTAAGATACGCAAATTCAGCTACGCGAATAGCGTAGCTGAATTCTACGTATCGCAGCCGACTTACCCCGCTGTAAGGACGGTGGCAAAATCGACCTCCGCGGCTTCCCGTTGACGGCGCTTACTCCCACCTCCGCTGGTGGAGTAAGAGCGTCGATTCGGGGATCGATTGTCGCGTCCCGACGAGACGCGATAATTCGATCCCCGAGAGGTCGATTTCTACCCGCTGATTCAGGCGGGTAGTGTAGACCTAGCGTAAAAAGTGCCACAGGACTCTGTCGCTTTTTACAGATCCAGACACAGCTATCCCTCTGATCTCTTAGTCTTGGTTGCTGGTGGGGAAAATAAATATCTGAAATGCCTTGGAGAGGGGCATTGAGTGGAGTAAAATAAAAATTAATAAAATACGCTTTCATTGAGAGAATCCATTTTAGATTATTATTTTAAGAAACATTTATGTTACACAGACCTCTTATATGAAATATTCACTGTGTGATGTTGAACTAAACTGTACATTACAGTCCACGCAACTTACAGTTGCTTTATAAAACTACTATAAACTACTCAAATTCTCAGTTTTAAGAGTGGTTAAAATAAATAAATAAATAAAAAGTTAAAGGCTCTTTGATGAAACTTCAAGGGTATGAATCTTTAGAGGAGAGGTCCTATCTGGAAAATTTCCATTTTACATGAATAGTTCTGCAGACCAGCATCTCCCAGAATTCTTGACGTCTGGGCTGCTTTCCTCTCTGCAGTTCATGGAACCTGATCAGCATTTTGACACCACGTGGTCTGGCTATGCCTTCTCTGCAATCGCTTGTTGCCAGATTCTCTGCCTCTGTGGCAGCAGACAGTGGCGGTTTCATTTGCGCCTGCCCTTACTCCTTCTATTTTAACTCTTCTGCCCAGTTTTTTGGGCAGTGGGGAGCAGTGTTCTCCTTCCTCGGTTTTTCTCCTCTCCCCAGGGTCAGTTAACCCTTTGGCGGCTTAATCCTCCCTGAGCCTCCGCAGCAGTGTCCTTTGGTCAGCTCATTTGCCTCTTATAGGCATAACAGAGCAGCCAAGAAAGTACCAGTTCAAATTTAAGCAGTGTTCTGTATGCAAGGCAGCCTTCCCAGACTTGGCAGATAGCAAGATGTGCCCAACCTGCACCCAACCTTCCATACCTATCTTCATTAGGTCCCAGGGCTATGAGTTGAACAGGCAGGTGGGGTTCCCTACCCACCCAGGCAGCCAGGACTCCAATGGGGAAAAAATGGACCAGGAACCTCAGTGCAGAACAGGGAGAGACTCCGAAAGCAGGGAGGACCCTCCTGACCACTCAGCTTGAGGGGTACATCACATGGGACCTCTGGCAGAACAAACTGGGGAGGCTTGGGCAGGACTTGCAACCCTGCAAGTTTTAAAGAGGGTACTTAGTGCCATGGGGAAAGAAACAGGACTTCTCATCAGCCTCCCTTTCTCGTATGCCAACCAAGAGGGTTTTGGACAGCAAGTTCCCCCCTCCCACTTGGAATGAGACCCAGTGGGGTAGGATTTTGAGACAGACCTCTTGAGAGGGCAGTAGGCCCTAAGGAAGGCAAGTTGCAAAAGGCCTTAATAAAGCTGCAGCAGAGCTTTCACTTTCCCAAAGCATGCTAAGAAAGGTTTAAAAAATTCTAAAGAAGCTAAAAAGAAAAAGGACAAAAAATCCAGAAGATATGAGTCCTCTGACTTCTCTTCTTCCTCCTCCTACACTGAGGAAGGCAAACTGCCTGGCTATGAAACCTGCTAAGGCTCCTGTGAGTACCTCAGAATAAACTTCTCCCCTCAAAATCCTCCCTTGAGGCTGTAATACCTCTTCATTTCTCCTTCAGCCAGTGATTAGGTATGCTTGGAACAAGCCTAATAAGGACAAGCATATTAACAAAAGCAGCTTATAACTTATAGCCTTTATATCATATAGCCTATATTAGGCTTTATATCATTCAAGAACCAAAGGGCTATATTGCAGAGATACAGAAGGTTGACACCACTGGAGCATCCGTTGCCAAGGATTTGGTTATTCCATCAGAAGGGAAGTTCTACCCTAAAGAAATCATGGATAAGAAGATGGAGGCCACTCTCAAAAGGGCTTTGAAGCCTCTTCTGCCACCCTCCAAGCATCTCTGGCACTTTGCAAGAACATCTCTTTCCTGGCTGGAAGATCTCAAAGCCCTTAAGGATGGAGTTCACCCTGACTTTGGTCCACTTTTAAGAAAGTCACCTAGCAACAGCATTTGTAGCTGATGCTTCAATGGATGCAATGAGGTTCTCAGTCCAAGCTATGGCTTCCAGCTTAGTAGTCAGGCACCACCTGTGGCTTTGACCCTGAAAGGTGGATTCTCACTCTAAGCAGATCCAGTGCTTGGCAAAGTTTATAGGCTTCCTTTTTTTTTAAATAAAAGCTGGATAAGGTGGTGGCTGACAATGCAGCAAAATCCTAATAGTCCCTCCCTTTCCCACTAAGTGCCCTCAGGAGAGAATATAGACTGGTCTTCAAAAGGAGCACCTCTGTCTGCTCCTCATTCTCAGAGTCATCAGCAAAGGAATAATAGATTCCCTAAGGGAAAACGGTGTAATTGAAGTCTGAAGGGAAAGTCCAGAGGGACTTCAGCCTCCTTCCTGCCAGATTTACTTTATGACAAAAATTGCATAGGCCTCCATCAGGAACTGAAGCAAGGGGACAGGATTTCCCATTTCCTAGAAGAATAGTTTTCATTGACCACAGATAAGTAGGTCAGGGGAATAGTGAGTCAGGGATATTCCCTAGAGCTGCGGGCACCACCCCATCCATTTTTCATCCAGTCACCCAGTTCCAACAGCCACATAAAACGCAATCTGATTCAGAGCGAAATATCTCATCTGCATATGGCAGTGAAAGAGAGTGTTTCCCTCAAAAGAAAGGAATAGAACCTAGCAAATCATCTTCTTTGTTGTACAGAAGTGCATGGGAGGGTATCAGAACTGTTCTCAACCTCAAAAGGTTCAACAAGTGGGTGAAGAAAATAGGGCTTCAGATGGACCGTGGCCTCTATGGTGTCATCCCTGTGCCAGGGAGGCTTCTTCACTTAAGTAGATCTAGTGAACACATATTTCCATATCCCCATCAGACCATGCCACCGCAGACTTCTGCAGCAGGAAACATCAATACTGACCACACCCATTTGTCCTTTCCTCGGTCCCAGAGTTTTTACAAATATGATGATGGTGAGAATAGCCAGATTCAGGTTGCAGGGAACTCTCCTGTACCCTTTCCTGGATGACGACCTGATCAGAGCTCTATTGCAGTCGGCAGTGCACAGGGTCATGCTTAGGATGTTGACTCTCCTCCAGGTGCACAGCTTCATCATCAATACCAAGAAGAGTTCTCTGGTTCATCCACCAGAATAACCCACCTGGGGACAGAAATAGATACCTTGGTATTGAAGATCTACCCATCATTAGAAAGGTTTCCGAAAATCCAGGAGTTGATTTTCTTGCTTAAGCGCTGCAGGAGGCTTACCATAGCACTGTGCCTCCAACTGCTAGGACTCCTGGTGTCATGCATAGGGATCACTCCATGGGCACAAGCATGCATCAGAAGTCTTCAAGCCTTCATACTACAAGTATGGGACCACACTCCAGAACACATGAAAGATTAAGTACGGTTCCAACAGAGGTATTCCACTCCTTACAGTGGTCAGCAGCCCACAACAATGTCCACAAAGGCATGCTCATCTGCCTTCCAGATCCTTCAGTCCTTGCAACCACGCCAGCTTGGAGGTCTGGGGATCTCACTTGGAGACCCAAACAGACTGAGGACTCTGGAGTCAGGAGGAAAAGACTCAAGCCTAAACTTCCTAGAGCTGAGAGTGGTCAAGCTAGCTTTGTGAAGGTTCCAGCCCACCCTAATGGGGACTCACATTATGTTTCAATCAGACAATACAACTACGGTCATGCATTTAAAAAACCAAGGGGGAACAAGGATTCCGGTATCAGAAGTATGTCTTTAGAAGAGAATCAAAAGCAGAGAAAGTAGTGGCTTTGTGGATCAGCACTGAAAGAGTGTCCTGCGCAAAATGGAAGAAAGCGCAGAGATGACTGGGGGAGAATTTGAGAATAGTGGACTAACTGGAGAAGCAGAAGAGACAAGAGGTGACAAAAAGGACAAGACCAAATAAGTACAGAAGGGCAGAATTATGTAGAGCTTTGAAGGAAAGGACAATAATCTTGAATTTGATGAGGTGGAGAAGGAGAATCCAGTATGTGCACGTAATGGATATAATGAGATAGGCAGAACAGTTCTTCTTTTCTCTCTGAGTGAGCCACATTAAAGGGCACCTGAACCAAAAGGCAGACTGGCTCAGCGGGCGCAGGGTCAACAGACATTTTGGCCTCCCTTCAACCAAACTGTTCGTGAATCGTATGAACACAGTGAGGCCAGAATACTTCACAAGGGAAGCAGACCCCAGATTCATGGACAGATGCCTTATCGCACAGTTGGCCACAGGCCCTTCTTTATGCATTTCCACACTTTCCACTACTGGGAAAGGTGCTCCAGAAAATAAAACAAGAACAGGCAGTGGTAATACTGATAATTCCTCACTGGCCGAGGAGACCTTGGTTCTCAGACCTGATAGAGCAGAAATTGAAGCCCCCACTCCAGCTTCTGTGGAGGCTGGATGTCCTCTCACAAACTTGGCTATTGAGAGGAAAGCACTAGAACATCTTGGTAAGTCCACCAGAGTCATTAAGATATTACTTTCATCTAGGAGAGTATCAACACTAAAAGCGTACTACTTTGTCTGGTCCAGATTCAACAACTGGTGCCAAGAGCACAATACAGATCCCAGAAATGCAAGAATTCCAGCAATACTTGACTTTCTTCAAGAAGGTATAGACAGAGGCCTTCAGGACAGTACCATTGAGCATCAGCAGTCTGCCTTTAATAGCATGCTGTTCACAGGATCCTTGGGATCCCTAGCAGACAATTCACAGACAGCCAGATTCCCTTAAGCAAGCCAATTAGCCAGACCAGTGGTCAGGCCACGCCACTCTTCCCAAAATGGGAAGTTTTGATGGCCCTGACAAGTCATTCTTCTGAGCCTCTGACTTCAGTTTCAGCATTTTATTTATCCATTAAGACTTGTTTCTTAGTAGCTGTCATGTCTGCCAGACAAGGAGCCTTACTGCCTTTTCTATGAGGACAAGGTAGTGTTCAGGACACCTGAATCTTTTCTACCTAAAGTAAATTCCTCCTTTCATGCCTCCAAAAAGGTTGTGCTTCCTTCAGTCTGTCCAAAACCACAGCATCCAACTGAAACAGCGTGGCACACCTTAGATGTCAGAAGAGCATTGAAAAATCTATCTCAAGTATAGAGAATCCATGAGGAGATAGGGCTCCCTATTTGTGTCTTTCCACCTGACATGCAAGGGACTCAGAACTTCCAAGTCCTCCATCACTAGCTGGATTAGACTTTGAATTGTGGAAACCTACAAATCACCAGAGATTCCTGTCCCAAAATAGATCAAGGCACACTCCACAAAATTGTTAGCAACCTCCTGGATGGAGTGAGGGCTGCAGAATGGAAAATTTCTTACCAATAATTTCCTTTCTGCTAGCAGCATCTTCCACAATTCTACCCACCCTGGACGGCTCATGAGTAAGGCTGTTTTTAGTCACGGGTATTTTTAGTAAAAGCCATGGACAAGTCACGGGCAGTAAACAAAAATTCACGGCCCATGACCTATCCATGATTTCTACTATATACCCCTGACTAAATCTTTGGGGGGGGGAGGCGGCCTGGGAGTGCCACGGGTACTGGGGGGGAGCTGGCAGGCTCCCTACATGGCTCCACACCTTCCTGGAAGCAGCAACATTCCTCAGCTCCAGGAACCGTGGCCAATGGGAGTTGCAGGGGTGGTGCATGGAGGTGGAAGCAATGCGCAGAGCTGCCTGGCCATGCCTCCACCTAAGAGCTGAGGGAGGGGGAATGCGCTGCCCAGAGCCTGCCTCACCCCGTCCTGTGCCTCTGCCCCTTCCTACAGCCAAACTCCCGCTGCTCGGGAGTGGGGGGGGGGGACACGGTGGCCCCAGACTGCCCCGGCAGTGGCCAGTGTGACTGGCCATGGGGTTGCCTGAGCTGCTCAGGCGGCCCCCGAGCCAGGCACACCGGCCACTGCAGAGGTCACAGAAAGTCACAGAATCCGTGACAAACTCTCAGCCTTACTCATGAGTCAAGGGTCAGATATAAAGTAGAATCATTACCTATGATCTTCCTTTTGGTCTAATGTACATAGTTATTTCATTATCTCTGGAATATTTTTTAATGATATGCAAGTTTTACAGTTTAGGAATAACTCATCTGGAAGCAAGCAGGAGCAGAAGGGATGTGGCCAAACTGTGCAGTGCCAAAATGCTTGATCCGCCTCTGAGCTGCACAGAGAAGAGAGCAGTCCTTATTCCAGAACTGTGGGAGACACTGCTAACAGACAGGAAATTATCCTTAAGAAGTTTTCCATTCATTTAAATTTTTTTACAGAACTTCTTGTTGTGCAAAAGTCAGCATGGTATAATACACAATTAACAGTTCTCTTTTGTCTGCAACAACAATAAAAAAGCTGAGGAACAGAAATGCGTATGCACAAATATGAAATCCATGTTTACATTCGGCTGGTACGGTTCTAAAAAAAGGCTCAAAAAAAGAGGAGGAGGCATAATGACTTTTAAAAATTGCTTTTAAACTTATAATCACTTAAAACCAATTATGATATTAATAGACTCTTCTGAAAAAAGATCATGTCAAAAAAATTGACAGAGAAATGAAGAATGAGAAACACAGAATTGTGTTAATTTAGTACACTGACTCTTGGACAAGCGGACATTAAAAAAAGTATGAAGTAGAATTATTTTTTTAATAGCACCTAAATGAACAGCTTCAAGTCCATCTTATCCTAAAATCCATTTAGATGAACAGAAATCACCAGCCCAGATTTGCAGATCACAGTGTATCAATGCAGTATATCAAAACCATTGATTAATGATTGTGGCTTGGTGTGATCAGTCAGGTACAATAAATAGGGTCGTCTCTGTGGGTAAGTTGAGAACTGTTGTATTAATTCCAATGGCATGCATGGGCCCAAAGAGTCAAAGGTGTTGACATGACCCTGAAATTTCCCAACATTGAACAGTTTAAAACAAGGTTTGGGGTTTGGTATATACAGCAACCTCACAAAAGAAGACACACACACCAGAGGGGAAAGAAAAGATCAGCAAAAATAGAAAATGCAGCTTCTGTTTCTGGTGTTGACTCTCACTGCTGGAAAAACATATTTAGTCTTATTAGCTGCTCTGAGACCTGGCAAACTTGGGGCTGTTTAGGTCATTGCTTTTGACTGCCTTTTTGGTCACTGGCTCACAGGAGCATTGCAAAATATACGGTTTGGGGTAGCTAAGCCAGACTCTTCTTAAACAGAAGGCAAAATGAAAGGGTTAGAGAAGAGATGAAATAAGATGGGGAAGGAGAAGGGAAAGGGACACATGGGGAGGGGCAACAAAATCTCACATCACAGGTGGTGGTTGGGATTTAGCCAAAGCTGGTGGAGGTGATTTCATGTGGGTCCTTCTCTCTGGCCCAGTCTAGTCAGGACATCTCTCGGGATTAGGGTGACAAAAGCTCAGCAATGTTACAGTGGATCCCAAGAAATGGTGAGGGTGGCAGCCATGGAGGATGGTAAGGCTCGCTGCAGCAGTTGTTGGCAGGCAGCTTCTTCAGCTAATTTTCCCCCCCAAACTCTTTTCTTTTCAAGAACCCCAGAAGGAAGTGATGGGCAGAATAGCCCATCCTTCGTTATTTTGTTCACTTATTAGGTCTAATTTCTGACACAACAATTTTGGTCAATTGATTTTCAGTTCCACACTTGAATGTTTACCAGGTATAATCTTAACACAGTCCTTGAGTTAAATCAGTAGGCCTTTTTGTTTAAATTAATTCAATTCTACTGTCTCCTTTTTGCACCTTTTCCCATCAACATTTATTGTTACAGGTTTTTGTGACATTTTATAAACATTTATTGTTACAGGTTTTTGTGACATTTTATAAACCAAAGATAAAGGTCAGACAACTTTCCTTAACAGTCTGGCTGAGGGCTTAGGGAGAGCTTACTCACTCACTTTTTCCAGTTGAGCTCACAATTAGGGTAAATTTCTAGGACCAATTATTACAACAGAACCTCTCATGAAACACTAACTTTTGTATTCAATTATGATTTTATTTATAAAGCACCTTGCTGCCAATGTTTTGTTTGCTATACAATAATTTACTAACAAGTGTGTGTGTGTGTGGGGGGAAAGTATTCATAAGAACAAAAATTCTAGTAACTTGCCCTTTTTAAAATTACACATCAAATCGGTTAGCTGGGGAATAGGTTAGAGAAAAGTTCTATGTGTAAAAAGAATAGATCAATGCTAAGAGATAAATCATAGTTTAAAACAGAATGAAAGAGTTTATATATAACTGATCCTGAATACTTCATTCTCCTAATGTAGGACATACATAAAATGGTTTCCTTTCACTTTTGCTGCATTGTCAAATAGGATACACTATAGGAAGCTGTAGATGTCTAACATTTCCTGCCTACTCTCACAGGAGGAGTACGACAAATATGGGATTCGAATTAGAGTTAAATTTCGTAGTAATACCCAACTGCATGAACTAACTCCTCACCATCAGAGTGGAGGTGAGAGAAGTGTTTCGACTATGCTGTACTTGATGGCTCTGCAGGAACTCAACAGATGTCCTTTCAGGGTTGTAGATGAAATAAATCAGGTAAGGTCACTAGTGCGTGAAACAAGACTTGTTCCACAGGAGTTCATAGAGTGACCACAGGGACTGTAAAAGTATATATGATTTCTTTTTTTTTTTTTTTTTTTTTTAAAGGGAATGGACCCAGTCAATGAGAGGAGAGTTTTTGAAATGGTTGTGAAGACCGCTTGTAAAGAGAGCACTTCTCAGTATTTCTTTATTACACCAAAGGTGGGTAACTGAAAACTAAACAAAAAGATTCTCGTGTGGGGGTGTGTGGATATATATATATATATATGTGTGTGTGTGTGAGAGAGACTCTCTCGACTTCTTTGATGAAAGAATAAATAGCATTGATATAGGTGCTATATAAATGTCTTCTGGTTTGTTCAATTGAGACTATGACAGGGATGAAATAAAAATACTATAACGGGGCAGTTTGTCCCCTTTAAGGATAGTTGTGGCCTGGGCTCAACCAACTCTGTTCCAAGGCTCAGCCTCTTTAAGAACAGGCATTCTGGGACTTGTGGTTCCCTGGAACGATCGATTGTACAAACAAGCTGAAGTACACACTGCTGGGAACCAGGGGACCCTCAAGAGACAGGGATAAGGATTAAAAGGCAAGCATGTAGCCCAAATGAAGGAGAAAGATAAAGGTGAGACAACTTTCCTTAACAGTCAGGCTGAGGGCTTAGGGAGAGCTTAGGAAGGCCAGTGCTGCAGTCCTAGGAAGGAGGGCTGCAGACAACCGTGCACCTAGGGAGGAAAGACTATTCAAGCCTGAGCACAAGGCTGATGGCTTACCGAGCCTGAAAGGGAATTGTGCTGCACTCTCTGGAAGGAGGGCTGCAGAGAACTAACTGACCAGGGGATGTACTGTCTGTGCCTATGGCAGCCAGCTGAATGGTTTATATTTGTTCTGACCCAAACAACAGCCCCAAGAAGGAATGTTATTTACAAGTTTTGTTTATCTGTAGTACTTTGGCAGAATTGGGAGGTTTGGTTTGAAAGGACCAATGGGGTTGCCTTCTCTAATGCAGTCTCAGCAAGTACCTACACTGTTTACTACAGGAAATTAGGAGAGATTATAGGGTAAATTGCTTGATCACCAGTTAAGGTATTAAGGTAACATTCTCCTACATCCCAAAACTTAATTTATTTAGATGTTAGCTGGTGTGAACCAATTATCTGATTATATGGCAGTCAAGGGATCTACCAAAAACCAACTTTTTTTCATTGGCCACCTAAACTTCAGTGTCTGGCATAACTTAAGCTTGGTCTACACTTAAAACTTTTAATGACATAACTGCGATGCTCAGGGGTCTGAAAAAATGAGCCATGTAGCTATGATGGCCTAACCCTTGGTGTAGATGCAGCTGTGTTGACGGAATAATGCTTCTGTCGACCTGGCTACCGTCACTCGGGGAGATGATGTTCCTACAGCAATGGGAAAAACCCCTTCCGTTGATTTAGGCTGCATCTACGCTACAGGGTTATACTGGAGTAGCTATGGGGCTTTAGCTTTGCCACTGTAGTCGTTGTGGTGTAGATGTGGGCTTAGAGTGGGAAAATGGTGATGGTGTTTGTTATTTCTACCCTTTCATTTCCTTATCCCAGATTGTCCAGGCACTGGGAGACATGCATATGTGGTCAGTGGCAAACAATGGTAAAAGCACCATGCAAAAGTTTTTTGGGGGAAATGTTAATCTATTTTAACTAATACAAAAGTGATGCTTGGTATAAGAGGTGTTGCTTAGTGTGACTTTTTTTTTTTCATTTTTCACAGCTCTTGCAGAATCTCACCTATGCTGAAAAAATGACAGTGTTGTTTGTCTACAATGGACCTTTTATGCTAGAACCAACCAAATGGAACTTAAAGGCATTCCGTAAGCGGCGACGACAAGTTGAGCAAATGGATCAGTAGTGAATTCCATAGAGCCTTTTGGAGCTACTGGTCTGTGAGACTGTATTTATGAAAACAGAGTGGTTGAATCTGAGAGGGAAACCTGCAGAGAACTGACAATGAAGAGCTGGGCTTCTTTTTTTAGAAACTTACCTTCAAATATATGTAATATTTTCTTAGATCTGTTCTAGCCATCTATTCGTTCAAAGAAAAACTCATTTTTACCTCGGACTGGCTGTCTTAATGGGAAGGCCCGTAGAAACCTGGATCTTTTGCACTTTGCTATATCCAACATACCACATCAGGAAATTTTAGCTGTCATTTTATTTCTTTCCAAATGAGTTACGTTTGGTCAAATCCACTTTTGTTGAAGTTTTCAAAAGTTGTGATATATATTAGGTTAATACATTGCACAGTTAACTTGAAGATAAAGTTACAGTTGGATAGCTTTGAAGTGGTTCTATTGAAATGGTAACTGTGTGAGTGAGGCAGAAGGGTATCTGATGTCACCAGACTCTCAACTAGTGTGGTGTGTGTGTGTGTGTGTGTGTGTGTGTAGCCTTGTATCACAGTTTTTTCTTGTGGTGGTTATTAAATATAAAATAGCATACACTATGTAACTAGACGTTATAGTATTATGTATATTAACATTTCCCCTTAAACTCTATTTCAGCAGGGTGAAGTGGATTCCTAAACCAAAAACCTTTACTCACACATCACAACCTCTCTCTCTCTCTCCTCCCCACACCCCCCCCGGACAAATACAAATTGTAGCTTTTTACACAAAAATTTTACTTGGGCCAGTAGCCTTGTTTGTATTTCTCTTCAAAAACAGTTGTGTTCTCTCTTCTGGAGAGCTACAAACAAGATAGCTTCTGGAAGTAACATCAATCTAAATGTTGTTTGGTTTTGGTGGTGGGTATGTAAATTATTCCTGTAGGTTTTTACACTTGAACTCAGCTATTCTTAACAGCTCTAGTTTCTTTGGAGTGGTTTTGTACTCCTAGTGAAGGATAGATCTCTGATGACATAGCTGTTAAATTTGGTGGCTTCTTGGTGGGGTTTTGGCCATATCTGTTTAAGTATAAATGTTTAACAGTTACCGCTGTCAACAGTAATTGTGAACTCTTGAAATAGAATGTCAGCTGGTTGAAATTCTTATCTGCCTAACTAATCTGTGGTACAAAATTGTAAAAGGTACAGATTTGTATAAAATTGGAAGACTTCTGTCAGTTACCTTTTCCAACTAATCTTTAGGAAAATGATCCAGTCCCATATGCTCTCTGAAAATCTACAGCAATATGTAACATCTTTATTTTCTCCACTGAAGGAGCCATTTGAAGGATGGTATTAGTTTGACTGGCATCTACTTAATTTGCAGTGTGACAAAAGTCACATTTTAGAAATTAAAACCTTATTTAACAGGCCACTGTCAGGTCAAATTTAGCCCCGGATGTAGGTTTTGTGTAAAACTTTTATAAAGCTAAATGCCAAAGAAAAGGTTTTTTTCAGTAGCGTACTGTTCAAAACAGACATCCTTTCCACTTAAGTGTTTGCAGTGTTGTCCTAAGCAAATGAGAACCTGAAAGTGAAGCTCACATAACTATTTTAATTCTCAAAAATGAGAGCAATGTAAAAAAATTAATGAATAGCATAAACAGCAAAACATAAACTAGATTCTGGAAAATTCAGTTCTAAAATGTCCTTAATTTTTAAAAATAACACCTTTTGACTGGCCTTTTAATAAGAAGGGTGGGACTGAGGGAGTTGGTAAAGGAATAGAGAACTGTACACCTCTATAACTGGCTTGAATCCTGGTCATTGTGGATCAAAAGTAATCAACAGACATCAGCCCTAATGTGAAATTAATTCTTGGAATTAGTGAATTCCTTGAGGACCAGTGTCCATATACTAGAAATCCTATTTGGCAGAGGGACTGAATGAGTCCGGAGACTCATTGTGTGCAGTACACGCCTGCAGTGGTATATGCAGGAAGCCTCCCATTGACTTCAGTGGGGCTCTGTATGGGCATACGGGTCTGTCCTTGCACCTCATCAGAAGATCACTTTTAAGCTTAACCTTTGGTCGTTACAAATGGTCTGTCTCCCCAGGACTGAGTTGACCTTCCCCAAATATTGAATTTACTTGGTTAAAATCAAATGTGCAATCTTGCTTACCCTTTGAAGATCATTGTAAGAGGGATGCCATTTCTACTCAGTGCCTATGTGGATTAAGCTGCACATTGAGACATGTTATACATACATTAGGGTGACAGAAGCTGAGGGGCTTGAGGTTTATTCTTCTAGGGCTATGGCAACAATTGATAGTCTGTATTTGTGATGTCTTAATCTTAGAAATCTGCAGGGCTTCTACTTGGAGTTCTGTTCTCACTTACACAGCATATCCCTCAACTTGGCATCTAGCTCTGTTGCTCATTTTTGGAGAGCAATTCTGCAAAACTTGTTCCAGAAGCTCTCTGCCCATCTTCCTGGGTATTAGAAAGCAGCACAAGTAAAGAATATGCAGATGCTACCTACAAGAAGAAAGATTAGTAATAATTGCGTCTGTTAGATAGTGTTGTCTCTGTCTATTCAGGCTAACCACCCAGCTTTCCCTTTTCTGAGTTCTAGCCTTGTGGGACTTGGTACCTGGTTAAGTGGAAGGAACTGAGTCCTTTTGAGAGCTCTTGTAACATCTACTGGGAATGTGCTTGTATAGCCCAAATCGATATTGATTTTCAGAACGTTTCTAAAGCTCAATGGTAGAGGGCAGGAGTAAGTGGGTGCATTCTACAAATGAACATTTGCAGAGTAATTCCTGGTCAGTATTCTCTCTGTTATGGTTAGGAATATGGTATGTCTAAAGCTGCATTCTCTCTGGAGGGTTTGGGTGTTTTTGGTCTTGCAGCTACACTTCACCACTGAAACTATCACTCAAAATATTTTAAAAAAAAAAAAGGCAAAACCCACCACTGCCCTCCCACTACCTTTGCTTTATAATTTATTTCATTTATACAAGTTTTAGCTGCAGAGGCAGTTACACTTCTAACCATCTTCTTCTTCCCTATCCACTAGCAACCTTTTCTCCTCTCCCCTCCTGCTGACCAGCAACTTTAGGGACTGAAGTGCTGTGAAAACCTTTGCAATTCATTGTAAATGTAGTTGTGTGTTTGGGGGTGGAGGGGTCAGAGAAGACAGAGAGAATATTAGATTAATATATTTGCAGGTAATATGTAGGCTTTAATACTGCTTAATAAAGTACCCCTCACAAACCCAGAAATGGAAGGGAGCTCAAATAGCCCTTCATTTTTAACAGAAAATGGAACTTTCCTTCAAAAAAGAGTGGTGCTTATTTTTTCCCATTCATTTCAAATAGAAGTGGTGCTTGAGGTCCCCTTCTACCTTCAGGTTTTGGGAAGGTCATTCCATGTTTCGTCACTAGGGGACTGGAAACAGTATTCCATAGATCTTTGTTACTTTGTTATCTTACAGGGTGAGGAAGCAATGTTGGAGAAACAGAAAAAGAATAAAAGCTTTCACATAGATTGTATTCAAAATTGGGTGATTATCCACTAAACAACTGGCATAGGCTACTGGGTATGGACAGCAGTAATGAAATAAAATACTCTAAATTCTCCCAACTCACTCTTAATTTGTAAAAGATAGTAAGACATCCCTTGGAGATCAAGGTGGAACACCTAACTGAAGAAGGGGAAGGAGTACTGCGGTTCTCCCTACAAAGTCCCATGCTGCAATGTCACACCTTTACACCATTTGTAAGTCATTTTTTAGTGTAAAAGCTAAACTGGGAGCTGTTTTAGATTCTCTATTTAATTTTGTAAAATTTATTACTGGGTGAGAAACTGCTCCTGAGAGGGCAACTAGGCTTCTGGGAATGGGCTGAGGGGGAGATACAACCTGTCTCAGGGGCCTGTTTTGGGGAGGTAAATGGGATGCTGTCTTCCCAGCATCTCTTCTGTAGCCCCAGAATGCTGGGCCTGGCACCTTCTGTGTAAAAGGGGTAGAATACTGAGTTGCAGCAGCTCTTGCTTCTCCCGTGCTTCATCAGCTCAGCCATGGGCTTGCTGGCTGGCTGTGTGCCAGGTACTAAAGCTGGTAGGGATTTTCCACCAAAATATTTTTTTCAACGGAAAATGCAAGTTTCTGCAGAATCAAAGATTTTTGCCTAGATGCTTGTTTCCCTGATGAAAAATCAAAATGCAATATTTCTCCATTTGGGTCAGTCAGCTGAATCCAAATTGAAATATTTAGTTTTGGGTCAGTTCCATATTAATCTGTGTCTGCATCAGCTGCTGCAGTGCCTCATGGGCATTGTCGTTTGGGTGCTTCAGGCTCCCGTTCTTCTCCATAGGCTAGGCAGGGAGCATGGCCCATCTCCCACGATGCATCATCGACTCCCATAGGTTGAACTGACACAATGTATCATGAGAGTCATATGGTCACCATCATGGGAAATGTAGTCTGGCAAGGGAGCCCAGCCATAGAGGAAAATGGGAACATGAGGCACTATGGCAGCTCATGGGGACGTAAATTAATGTTAGACTGAGCCGAAGTGAAATCCGTCAATTTGGGAATGTCTAAATGAAACTTCAGTTAGAAAATACAGAATTTTCTGTCCACAAAAGAATTTGATGTTTCAAATTTGGAACAAAAACAAATTTCAAAATACTGGAATTTTCTGCAAAATTCTGACTTTCAAAAAGCTCTACCAGGTATGCTGCAAGGGGACTTGCATTGACTGCCATGCATCTCACGTGACACTCACACGTGCACATTCCCACAGCCCAGGCTAAGGGCTTGTCTACGCATGGAGTTATTCAGGAATAGCCACTGCTCTTTAAATACACACCTTACTATAATATGAATTAACTTTCAAATGTAGACAAGTTCTAAATGTCATGCAACTGCAGCTTAAGATCTCCAGAAGCTTCTGTGGTGCCTTTTGGACCTGAGCAAAGAAGGAGCAGCCAAGAGGAGTAAGCCAGCAACGGTGGCAGCAGGAAGTGGCAACAGTAGAGACGGAAGGTAAGATGGGGACAATCCTGGCCCAGGCTTCCCTCCACAGCAACCTTCCAATCCCACCCACATCAAGTCCCAGCTTTCCATCAGCCCTTAGCCAGCATCTACCCTCATGCTCCCCATAGCCACCCCATCTTCCCCTACACACACACACCCCACAAGCTCAGCAGTTCCCAGCTTCTGTCCCCTCTGACACAGCCTGTAAATTCGACTTCTCTTAGCTGCTGCCCCCCCACGACCTCCACCCACTCAGCCCCTTCAACAATCCCCAGCCATTCCATCTTCAGCCCACCCAACACCCACCTATGCCCCAGACACTCTTCAACACCCACCTAACTGCCAGGTTTCTGCAGCATGATGACCTATCCCCACCATTGCATGGGGCAGGGTGTATTCACCTTAAACTGAAGTTTACGGTCTTATACAAATTATGTAATAGGGTTTTTCATACTTGCAAATAATTTCCATAAATTGCTATACATGGAGCTGCACAATACTTGGCAACTATGGCATATTGCTCATTTGTGGGAGGAGGGAGGCATCTGCGAAACTTAAGACCCTCGTATGGGGCTTGGAGAAAAGAACTCTGCAGGTAAGTGAAGG